TCGCTGAAAGAAGACTGTTCGGTTTTGTACCTTCACGTCGAGCGTCTTCGCTGCCTGAGCAAGGTTGCGAGAGGTCGCATCTCGGCGACATGCTCACCCCAAGGGAAAGCGGCTAGGCACAATTGTTTGGAGGAAGTGTTGGTTAGGTCACGGTGCTGTTTTGTGACCATGATCTTATGCTCGTAAATACGACAGCCGTCACTTTCGAGCGAAACCTTGCTACCACTGGCGAGAGTTTCCGATTAGAGTAAGGGACTAATTTAGGTGTACTGAAGCTTTTGTAGCCTAGAGCACTAATGTTGTTTTGTTCCGGCATCTTCATAGACCAACGTCACTATCTTCCATCCTGGGGGGGTTGTTTTGTGTTGTTTTTGCAATTTGCAAATGGGTTCATTGTCGAATGTCTTCTCTGATGAAGACATGATGGCGAATGGATGGCGACGAGCCCCTTATTGTAAAGCATCTGCCAGGAAGGGATCCGACCTATCGTGGCCGTGGCAAGCAGCGTAATGAACATGAGCCGGGCACTCACTTTACGGGCTCAAGCCAGCCGGGAGGACAATCAACAGGTTCAGCCCATATGGGTACCATAACTAAAAGGCTTTGAGCCAGCACCGCATGGGTCCAATAGGCTATTGTCCCAACGCTGTTAACCAGGTCCTTCCTACAGTGCCATGTCAGAGTTCCGAAAACCGATAGGGTGGCGATGTCCGTGGTGCACCTCATATGCGGGGGTTTTCAGACTTTTGAAATGGCACTGTAGTGATTTTGGTTGGCTAAGGTCAGTTTACACAGGGAAGTAAAGCCCATGAAACTTTCATGCAGTAGCCATTACTATCGAGGACCCCCGCCCTGGGCACTCATAGTCGAAGATTGTTGCCTTAGGTTCATACACCCACGTATCAGTCCATACGGTACGGATCAGACATCCAATACTGTTAAAGAACGCGGGGAGATATGCTTTTTCCATTGTCGAAGGTTTCGGTACTCGGAAATGTGAAGCATTCAAACCGTAAAAAATGATAAAGTTTGGTGATCCTACGAGATTGGATGGGAAAAGCAAGAAGATAGGCGTAAACTCAATAATCACTCTACACTGTGGTCTGCTTGGTATAGGCAAGCATTTCTAAGTTCTACGATTCATTGAATTCTGAATAACGGACGTAATCTTATTCCAAACTTCTGTAATTTTAGAATGCTTAGTCCTGGCCCCAGTGTGTATTATTACCGGAAGCCCGACCACACTCTTCCCAATGCCGTTATGTTCACTGCTGCTCACGGACGAAGAAATTAGGACGTCCAGGCATGACCAATCATTTACAGACCCGGAATCACGACAAACACACATGAATCAGAGGGGATTTTTCCTGACGAAGCTTGTCTTTGTTGCTAATGTGACGGCTGCTTCGTCGTCTCTCCATGCTACTCTGGCTCCGCCGAATGTAGCATCAGTCCAAGATGTGGTAGTCTCTAAATACTTGTCAAAAACAGTACTAGAGCTTCCGGAATGCGCAGTAATAATCACCCTCTTAGAATCATTGTTTAAAATCCCTAAACATCAGCTAACCTGCTTATACTTAGAACCACTGCATCGTAACAGAGTTATTCAAGCCCGTATGCCAGCCGACAAATACGAGCTGCATTTGTACGAACCATGATCTCATCAAAAGCACTGAAATGTGTTTAGCGAGTAAATGCACTATTCCAGAAGCCCTAAGTATGTACTTAAGGCATTTTCGATTATAAACTCCTCAGCTTACGGACATTGTACGACCAGAAGGGCAGAAACACCAAAAGATGTTTTGTGAGGAACCTATAAGACTCAATACCAACCAAAGCCCGATTATGTGGTCACTTTTTACAGCCTCTCTGCTATCCGTTACTTTTCGTCTCCTCTCAAAGAATGCTATACTTGGCTCTGCCCCAGCCTTCACCATGGACGACTGTATCATCGTCGTGTCTTTGGTAAGTCCTGATCAAGTTTGTGACCCAGTTTTGTTGAACTGACTTTGTTAAAACCATGAAAATTAGGTATCTCTATTAGCAGGAGACATACCAATGCAGATGGGTGAGCAAATACCCTTTCGATATGTCAAGCAACCATCCTAACCGCATTCTGTAGCGATCAATTCAGGCCTCGGCCAGGATATCTGGATGGTGCCCCCTGACAACATTACTCAAATCTTACTTGTTAGTTAACAACTGCATCCCTGATTCCACATGAGGCGTATTGCTAAGTGACATTGCGATACCAGATATTTTTCATAGAAGAGATTCTGTACATCATAGTCATATGTACAACGAAGATTTCGATTATCATCCTCTATTTACGGATATTCTACGAGCCATGGGTTCGGAAAGTCTGCTACGTCCTCCTAATAAGCACAATTATTTTTGGTGCGGCCTACATGTTTCACGCTGTCTTCGCCAACTGGCCAATTAGCTACAGCTGGACATTTTGGGATGGCTTACATGAGGGAAAGGTGAGTGATTGGCAAGAATTCAAATCCAAATCGGTACAATGTCAATGATTCTACTACTCTTTCGGATCCAAGACTAATCCAACATGAAGAGAGGCAATATTCTGCTCATTAGTTTCCTCTATAGCGGCATAAACATCGCTCTGGACCTGTCCCTCTTTATCCTTCCTGTAACACAATTGTAAGTTTACCAAATTTTGTACAGCCGCGATCTGAAGACTTTTTACAAACCATGATAGCGTCAATGTTTCGTGGACTTTGAGGAAGAAGATCGGCACTAGCCTAATCTTCCTCGTCGGCCTAGTGTAAGCGATATTGGAGCATGATAAGTTTATGGCATCTACTTTGATTCTTTGGAAACGCTCCTGCACTGACCAGAGCAGTGTGACTGTGTCTAGTTGCATTCGCCTGAATACGATTCTTGTTTTTGGAGAAACCCATAATCCAATGTGTGAGTGGACTCAGCGGTACCCCTTAAGCTTGCTACTCAAATGCGACATAGGCACTCGCATATCATGATATTGACAAGCATCTAGATGACTTTAAGGATCTGTGCATATGGTCTTCAGTGGAGATTCATTTGAGTGTAGTTTGTGCCTGTATGCCTGGAATGACTGCGCTGGTCCGACGAGTCTCGTTTCGACGTCGAAAGTCACAATCACCACCACAGCAACCAGGCAATCGGCCTCCCACGGCGGCTCGGTCTTTCCCCCGTCAGCGCAGTCGGTTTTGGTGGGATCTCACAACGACACGTCCCCGAGGGTATCATGTTGTCTCGGGGAACATAGAGCTCCAAACTGAGAGAGGGGCTTCTGGGAGGCAACCAGCTGAGTTTAACGAGCAAACAAGCAACCTTAGTGGGCGTGATAGTGAAGAATGGGAGCCACACACAGAGTCAGATGATAGGGCTGACAAAGCTATGCCAGACGACATTGCAAACAGGATAGTCTGATGAGTTGAGCAACAACTGATACCATCTCCGGAGCATATTTAATATTTCTTAGTGCTGAAGGATCAACGTTATAGCCGGGGGAGAAAGCCCATCTTGAGGCATGATATTAGCTTATATACATATTCTAGTACATTGTCAAAGCCACAGAAACGGAATAGCAGGCTGCAGATGAAACATTAGAAGTTTATCAACCTAAAAATATGATCAAATCGAGCGAACCCAGCACAGCGACGAGACTATGATCCAGATACATGTAAAAAAAAACATGGACACTGTGGGAATTGAACCCACGACCTTTCACAAGCAAGCGCATAACACTGATTCCATGGCAAACCAGACTGAAATGCGAAGCGAAAATCATACCCCTAGACCAAGCGCCCTATGATTGGATGATCATAAAAACCAGAATCCACACTAACATCGGGAAATGTGTGAGTCTCTGTCGGTGTCGGCAACTAATCTCCAGCACAAACGTCTCAGGTGGTACTTGGAAACGCGCCTTTGCAGACCACGGTAATGAAGTGTACACCTTACAACTCCCCCCCCCCCCCCCCCCCCCCCCCCCCCCCCCCCCCCCCCCCCCAAAAGAAACCTACTAAAAAACTAAAAAAAAAAAGCTGGAGTGTCGCTAGGTATTGAGATCTATTCCCATTCCTCAAGCGCATTTATCAGCAAAGAGTACGGACAGGTATCTTTATGGCGCGTCCGGTCTGTTTACGATTCATATGGACAAGGGACCCTGATGATCTTTCCAACCAGGCTTCGCTCCGCCTTCTAGGATTGATTTCCAGGAGATGAGAAGGTCATCGGCTAGATCACGCAAGTGCCATCTCCAAATTCCGCTGGAAGGGGTTGACATGCCGAAGCACGAAAACTGAGACATGATCATCTTAGTCCGGAAGACCCCTGTGGGCGTCTTTTCCTGTCCAGTCCCCTCAGAACCCCAAGACTCAAATTACCCCGAGAACCAAATACTGTAAACGAAAAGAATGGTAAAGTTGTTTGTTCGTCTCCTCCTTCTTTTCTCTATCCCGTCTTTCTTTTTCCTTCTCCCCTTTTTTCCCCCGCAACAAGATATCCTCTGCGATGGTGGTCGGCAGAAAGACCACATTTATAAACACGATAGAGTGACCTAGCACTCTTCAATTGGGACCATCGCTTTTGATCTAACTCCTTGAAAGCAATGTTGCAGTCCAGTTCCTATCATTAAGATTCCGTAGCTCAAACCCGTTATGAAAATTGCTTCAAGCCCGGAGCTGGGTGCCATGAAGATGTCGCCGATTGTTTTAATGGAAAGTTAACAGTGACTACCACGTGAGTTCCAATTGATGCCTTCACCTGATTAGTGAGTCGGTCTATTCTTGCTGTGGAATTCAAAACACCCCCAAACTGCCTAAGATGGCATCGGTTGAGTTCTAACCCAAGGCCACATTCCACTAGGTATGCCTCAGAGCGCATCATATAAATTTAGAGAAGGGTACTTGGGAAGAAGAAACAAACAGCCTTGCGCATGTCAACCTCCTTTCTCTGCTCCGACCAGATTAACGGGATCAATCGAAACGATCGCCATGTCCTACCGGCCCCCCCAGAAGAACCCCCTAATCCTGCTTTCCGACGGCTCATGGAGTGGACGAGAACGCGGGGCAGGCTCTAACGTCCATCAGTTGGCCAATCTGGTTTGGGGTGGCGCCGGCCTTCCTAATGATGACGATTTCGCGCATCTTCATCCTTCAGGCAAAGCCCGTTATGTCAACAGCGTCCCAGTTGGCAGTACCTTTATGGAGTAAGTCCATCAGCAAAAAGGTGTTCTTTCAATTCACTGATTTTTTAAAGTCATCTAGTTCGCGGTCTCAACGTCCACGATATCACGCACCAGTGCGTAGACGCTTACGAATACCTTGTCCGCGGATATACACCACAAGAAACAGAAATTTGGATGTTTGGCGTTTCTAAAGGCGCTTATATCGTCCGCGCCGTAGCTGGAATGATCAACAACTGCGGTATTGTGAAGCCAGTGTACCAGTCGAACGGCGACGTCGACGAGGAAAAGACGCACCAACTTTGTCAAGAAGTCTACCGCATCTACCAGTGTCCTTCCGAGCCTAATGCGCCGAAGAGTGAGAAATCCAGAGATTTCAGGAGGAAGAACAGCTGGGCTCTCATCGGCGACGGCGACGTCATTGAGTCGCCTGTCCGCTTCATGGGGGTCTTTGACACGGTGGGCAAACGTGGAATCCCCGAGTTTGCCGATTCGCTCGGTATCGACTGGCCTAAGCTGTATGACCAGCATGTTTCGAGCGTTGTGTCCGACGTCTACCACGCCGTCTCACTGCATGATCGCTTGTACGCCTTTCAACCTTGCCTCATTTCACGCGACACAGAGTACGGACCGTCATATGGCATCACGGAGCGCTGGTTTCCTGGCACACACTACGACATCTGCCGGCAGCAGTTCAAGTTCGTCAGGGGTATTCTCCCAAGAAGTCTCGAAAGCGTTCTTCCAGCTTGGGCTTGGACGAGTAAGGTCATCAAGCCAAACGAGATTCTCTCCGATTTAGTTTTAAAGTGGATGCTAGAGTGCATCGACACGCACGACCCCTCTGGTTTCATCATCCCAAAGGGCAACATCTACCGTGAGCTGGACCGACTGAAAAAGGGCATTCTCGAAGGACAGAGCACCGGGGACGGTGATGTCTATAATCGCATCCTGCAGTTCGCGCCCTTTGGACAGTACCTCGATCTCGCGCTGTCGGTGGCATTTGGAAAGTGGCAGAACACTCAGCTATATCAGTTGCTCTTTGCATGTAGACCAAGGTCTATCCCTGAGTTCAATGCATCCGTGTACAACTACAGAGGACCCGATCCGAACCTAGATGGCAATATCATCCAGAAGCTGGCCAACCTTTCGTCGAGCTCGACGCCCACTGAGGAACAGGCTAATACGCGTTACCCCGCTACTTCATATGATGGATGGTTGCTGAGACGGTAGTCTGTGGACGCGCCTTGGTGCTCATTCTCGTGTACGGTATCAGGGATCTGAAAGCCCCCTTGTAGCACATGCAATTTCACATCTATATCTTTGGTGTCTAAGTGGAAGGCGGTTTGATTCGTTGCAAGGCTGCCAATACTGGAGCGACATGCGGCGGCTGTGTTCCTTGATTCATATGCTATTCAGACGCATCGTAGGGCCATCTATAAGGAGAATCCATCAATCGCAATCGCTGAGGTTTCAACTAGCTAACTAGCACTATGGATTAGTCTTCTGCCAGAACAAATAGCAGAAAATGTGCTCTCTAACTTGAGTATCTAGGTTTTAGAAAACAGTTGTCAAAGTTGTAGTCAACACTCTGGAAGGCGGATGTGGCCCTCTCTCCGTTTCCGCAGGCAAAACACATCTCTGGCCCACTCCCACGTATGGATGGCCATGCTCATCGTTCCAAACATAAACAAGGGTATCACAGTATTAGCAAACATGTACAGCAGACCACCAGACTGTTTGACAATGTCAAACAGCTCGCCGCGCATGATACGCAGCGACTCTTCCTCATTCTTCCATGGGCCCACCAAGCGGAATTTAGCGTTGAAGTTGCTGCCCATCGCCCATGTGTATACTGCCTTGAAACCCTTGGAAATGACGTAGCTAAAGCGCGGGGCAGAGCCTATGTCAAGAGCTAGCTGGTATACGTAGCTCTCGTGATCAACGCCGCGCTTCTCAGCCCAGGGATCACGGCCGCAGCGAGAATGTAGCTTCCAATCTATGTCGTATCCGGGAAGGGCATTTGGATCGAGGGGATGGGATCTTGGCGAAGTCGTAAGGCCTGGGACGGTAGGGTACTTTGACTGAAGGAGGCGGAGAATCCAGAACTGAGTTTGCATCTCAGCTAGGGTTGGGATGGCTCCTTGATGTGATGTTAGTGACATGCAAACCCATGACCTGTTCGGAGGCATTACCCAGATTTGGCCTCACGAAGCCGATGAATCCCACAGAAACGTCATTACTATGATAAATAGCCCGCACGTCTGCCGTGTCGGGTGTACCATAACTCTCATCCAAAAACGGGAAGCGGCGAGTGTACCCTGTGGCGAACAGAACCACATCCGGCTTCACAACCATCTGCTTCATCTTTTCGGATTCTGGTCTTCCAGTGTCACGAAAGTGCATAATGCCATCGTCGTCAATGTACTCGGGCCAAGGTGCCACATCAATGTATCTTCCCTTTGTGTCGACGTCGTACTCTTTGATATAGAAGAAGAATCGGCGAATTCGCTCCATGATCGTCAACGGGCGGCGCCAGGGTGCGGAAATATAGGGAACTGCTCGAGTGGATTTGGCTGGAAAGACTATTGTCATTGGTCAGTTGGCTGCTGCGTGTATTGACGTAGGGATGCATACAGTGATCGATGTGCATCCTCTCCCGGGGCATGCCGCCGACCAGTTGGTCCCAACCAACAGCAGCTCCGCCGATAAGCGAGAAGGTTACATCGATCTGTTGATTATAGAAATTCCAAAGAAGCTGGCTTGACTGCAGCTTCGGGGGTACATATGCAGTGTCGAACAGACTGGCAATTGAGCAGTCAACGGGCTTCTCCCTAATATCTTTCCCCTTACCCCAGAATCCAAACATTACAGGAGACGGCGCAGTCTATGTGATTTAGTACTGGGTCAGTGATCTTACTGGTAGAAAACAAGCGTACCTTGGGTGCCACTACAAAGCCGTCTCTGTGGCACATGACAACATGCTGCACACTCTCGGTCGTGGCAGCAAGTTGGCCGAGGTCCTGTCCGGTCTCCCCGGTGCCGACAATAACAACTGTTGGCTTCTCACTCTTGATATCTCGAAGCTGGTCTCGTGATTTGAATTCTGAAGAATGAAGTACCTTCGGAATCTTTTCGAGGCCCTTAAGGGGTGGAATCCTTGGTTCGACGTTTAGGCCGGAGCAGACGGCGACGGCATCGCAAGTGTATTCCAAGGTGGTGCCATCAGATCGACTAACGCTGATGATGTGGCCTTCACCTTCTATTCGGCGAATGCAGGTGACTTTTGATGAGCATTCGATGTGAGACCGGAGCTCGAAGCGATCACAATACTCGTTGAGGTACTGCACATAAATCTCTGGGGTGACGTAATCAGGGGCATCTCGGGGTAGGCGATGATCGGAAAAGGCAGTCAGATATTTGGACGATACGAGCTATGGCCATATTGTAAGCTTCACCTACCATCTGACGGAATGAAGCATTCAAGCGATATTTTGGTGTTTGGATGCGGGATACTTACCTCTGCGTCCTCGTAGACTCGGTATTTGAACGTGCCTCCAATAGTCTCCTCTGCCTCGAAGACCCGAATCTCGATAGGCTCAATCGCAAAGTACAGATGCGCCCACTTGAGATATCTAGCCGTCGCCAGACCCGCAGGTCCGGCACCGACGACAGCGACTTTGAGCGGCATAATTACTTAGCGCGCGGGCGGCCTTAACTCTTAACGTCCCTTCCTTTCAAGGTCCTCCGAAGTTATGGTGCATACAAAAATTTGGGTATGTCTCTCGAGTAAGGGGGGCACACACCCTCCAGCGCCACGAGGAGCACAGGAATAGGAACCGAAAGACTGTCGCAAGGAATCGTGGGAGCCGTGAGGGAAAGGGAAATTGAATTGTCCGCTGATGGGACGACGGGGAAAACCGTTCGGTCTTATGGCTTACATCACACCTTCACTAGCATCCGCACAGACAACTCAATTACACTCACACTACGGACGACAGCGAATCTCGGTGGGCGGAAGGGAAATGGAGGTGTGGTACCAGGTTACCCGGCTGCGACGGTCTCGTCTGATTTTCCGCTTCCCGAGTCTTTTCGTTTCCCTCCAGGAATTATCCCCAAGAACCCCTACTCTAAACCAGGTAAGGCAAGCAGAATGACCGCATTTAACACCGAGCTAATGGTACGGTCCCCTTGTACGTGCGTATGGCCAACCAGCCGGTCGGTGGAACTTATCGACCCTTCGCGTCAGGGAACCCAATTGTGAGGTTCGGTGATAGTGGATAGACCTTGCCAACAGTGCAGTAGTGCGACTTAGTTCCATGCGACAGCGAGGTCTTTCCTTGTTCTCGTCATGAGACCCCAAGACATTAGCGGGGAAAGCAATGTCTTCAGTGGGGCGGTCCCCCGAGAGGCATCGGCTCTTGTTTTGTATGATTATCGATTGTCTTGGATTGGTCGAGGATATCGTCTTCCTCTATTCTGGAAGATGATGTGGGACCTCATCAACCGCTGGCCCCTGGGACCGGTACTTCCCAGGTCTGTGGAGTTTTTTTTACTATGGATCCTCTCTGGGATATACGGCAAGGTATCTGCACTATCAAAAATGAGTTGTCTTATTTCCAACCCGGGCTGGTGGCATTCGGTCTGGGGCCGGCGTTCTATGTGGCCTAAGAGGCACAAAGACAGCCGCCACGCGGCGTCGAAGCGTAGCTGTCCTAATGCCCCCAGACAAAGCGCAACGGCGCGCTTGGTGTTTCCGGCCATTTTGTCCGGTTGAATGTGGGACCATCTGGCCCGAGTTGGCTGCCACACCCGCGCCGGGTCGAAACTCAATCTATTGTTTTGGCTGTCATCTCGAATACGGGTTGCCGGCTTTACGGACGTACATTAGTGCAAGATAACTGGCTGAATTGGTTAGATTCTCTCAATTTTTCTGCGTTCATGTCAGCTCCTCGTGTGAGTACACCCCCGGAATCGCAATGTCTGACCGCCACTTCGGTTCAGTAAAGACCTGCTCAATCAATCGAACCCGAAAAACTAAACTGGCACAGGTCACGTCACGTTCGAAAACGGCTCCACCTGTTTTCAAACGTCAGCAGTCTCGGCGCCGTAGCTCTTCACTTGTTTCTTCCACATGACTGTTTGTCACCACCACTGCCGTGTTCCCATGCTGCCTTTATTTATTCTTGCACAATATCAGCCGCTGTCCACCAGCTCACGTCGTCCCATCTGAGTTCCGTTCACCGCTCATTATATCTCTCCTTCTCGTCATCAATGATCTTTCATCAATCAGTATATAATCTTTGCTCGAGGCACTTGAGACCTATCACAAGTCTTGTATCAGTCGGGCATTTTTCTTAGTAGCGGGAAAGTTCCAGTAGACTGTATTACGTCATTGCAGAAGTATTTTGTCTAGTCAATTTTGGCCAAGATGTTGCTGTCCTAATACTATCGAGCCTACTAACCAAGGATTACGCAAGGATGTCTCACATACTATTCTTGCATACTCTAGCCCTAGGCTGATGACCCTCTCCTGTAGCCAAAGGCAAGACCAGACAACTCACGAAGTATACGAGCATCTACATTACAAAGCAATAAAAAACAGGCGTAGTCTTACAGAGGATATGGGTAATGTGGTAGTGCCGATGGCAAATCCAAGCGCGACACGTTCACCGAAAGCGGCATTTCTCGTTAGTAGTGGGTGCCAGAAGCAAAAATACCGGCTTGAGATGTTGTGTGAGCGACTTCCCTGTCGTAGACCAAATTACCCCTACCAAGTGCTGGCCACCAACGTAAAACTCGCATCAGACCTTCGCTGGTGGGTGCTCGGGTGTCGAAGCATACCTGAAGAACATTTCTTATGTTTACAGAGCATATACTATATCAAACCATCTGATAGGTTTATGTAATATGGGACTAGCAAGACCGCGTCAACGTGGCTAAGAACCCTCTGCTTACACTGTCTAGGAAATAGATGAAAATAACTAATGCCACTAAGGAGCTATCACACACTTTCGCAAAGGCTTAATCAACAGCACAATACATCGCGAAAAAATCTGGGCTAATAACGCGTACAGCAGGAGGAAGAGATACTACGAATGGAGACTTTGGTACTTATTAATCAATCAAGTCAAGGCCGACAATCAATGCGGGAAAGAAATTGAAAGGCTGATGGCCTTTACTTTGTAGGAAGGGAAGAAAACAAGCACCAGAGTAGAGACTACGTTTCATCATTCAAGGCGACTTGTGGTAGAACCCATAGTTAGAGAGAAAAAAACAATCCATCCAATACCAACATAGAGAATTGGGCAAATAAGATACATCAAGAGCGTCATACACCGAGTCTGCTCAAAGTGAGCAGATCGAAACAACCTTATATCCGTGCACTCTACTTGCCAGATGATATTCTTGATCCAGGGTGGAAAGTGCATTTTTCGGTGCTTTGGGTCAACGAAAGTCTTGATGTGATGAAGCATACTTCAGCACGGAAAGTCCTGTGGTCCTAAAGAATGTGTTGAGATTGGTCATTGGCATCAGTTCGAAATCATTCGATTCAATGCTTCATTTCTCAGTGAATTTCTTCGTTTCGGCTTTTTGTTTGGATATCTCGTAACGCCCGGCTCAAGATATCAGTTCTAGTTTTGCTTGTCCACGCTATTTTCTTCTTCGCAGCTAACGTACTTAGTGCTCTTTCACGTGAGGTAAGTGGAATCTTTTCTGCGTAAACCTTCTTAGTAAAGAGAGTCTGACAGTTCTTTCGGCACACTGGTACGAATTTGTGTAGTAAGCGTCGGATACCCAGAAACATGTTTTGCATCGGGACTCGGCCATCTTTATCTTACTTACTATAGATTGAGGAAACGATCAAGTCGAAGCGGAGTGACTATATTCAGATAACTCGATAGACTTCATTCACACAGAAAACGTGGCTCTGGCGGTCACCTACCGGCTGACGCCGCTGAAACCTGCATACAGGTAGGAGACTCTAGTGTATTGCAGCGGGCCAAGCGGATGAAATATGGAGATGTGACCTGAGCAGGTCTTCTAAATCAGGTAGGTAGCTAGAGCTGCGATATGCTCCATTCTTATAAGAATGCAACGACGGTACTACCGGGGCCTATCACACATCTAGAGAAGGGATAAAGTGCTTGAGAGGAGTTTTGTAGACATTTAATTAGACGTCAATGCAGCCGGGGTTCTGTCTGATATGTCGAAGCTGTGGCATTTATTAGTCAAATCCGCGGTACCAGGAAAATGCCGGTGAGAAACTAAAAGAAGACTGTAACTGGAAAATTTTAGGGTCTGTTCCATCGCACGCTGTTGTGACGTTCTGGACACAGTTGACATCATGGTGTGGTCCCCTGCGGAGGTTGAGGTCTGCTTCATCCGAACGCGAAACGGTCCGTTGAAAAGTCTGTTCCATGCATACTTATACTGCCGCACTTACTACGATTGAATATGTTGGAGAGAATAAGGATAAGAAAGGCTGGTGACCCAAATTTTATTCATGGTTGGATAATGTATGCTTATGTGGGGAAAAACCTAACTTTGATACGAGCAACATGAGAGGCACTGAGCACAACAAAGCACCGTACAGGGCTACTTGGGCCAGGGTAATGGTCGGCGTATTCAGAGATATTCAAATGGCGTTTAATGTAGTAACGCTGTCAGTGATGTTAGCGAACTTGTTTAAAGCTCTGCTGGCGCCACCAATCTGGCTAGAGGCTAATTGAGAACTTTGATCTTGAGGGGACTCCATATTCTACCCACAATAGCATGTTATCAGACTCTGTAGAAATCAGTGGGATGTGCCAAGTAGCTTCCAGACAGACCCATAGTACAAAGTGCACGCATTGACCCAGAAGAAAGGAGCTGTCGATTTCACCAAATCGGAAATTCGGACAAACGCCTGATTTTTGCCGTTGGGATCTTGGAACCTAATCACCTGATCGATCTGTCCCGCAAACAAATGTTTTCGTCCGTGTGCTTCGATATTGTTGACAGAAGGTGGATGGAATCCTGGAAGTAAGCTTTGGACTTTTTCAGTTGATTAATTACCACGCGAGGGAGCAACTCGCCACTCAGAGTATTTAACGGCGATTGCTGACACACATAAAACTCTCTTAGTAGAAGGTCTTTCTTTTGTTGGTTCTCTGTTGATTCTCTGAAGCATTTCACTGTTGACGATAACTTGCATTTTGCAGCGCGAAAACTTATGTTTTGACAAGACCCTATCTTTATGCTTCAACCCCGAACTTCGTAAGCTTTGGTCGCGATCATTTTCCTGTCAAGGCTGGAGAACTCCTTTGGGAATACATGAACCCTCTCTATCAACCAAAAAGCAAAACACAGATTCGCATCTCGTCTATGCTAGGAAAACATTTCGCAGCGGACATCGCTGTGGTTGGCCTCTGGGTAATGAAAGGGGTTATTACGTGCATACGCTAGTATGGGGCTCTGGCAGCCCTAGGACGGATTTCGTCCCTCTTTAGCAAGTAGACCAATCAACATGCCACCCGAAAGCGAGTAGGAAACTTGATCATCGCAATCATCGCGCCCACTTACCCGCTGCCCAGAGCCTTGGCAATCGTATGAGGCATAGGCTACCAAACTGCAACCCATTTTTGGTCTTTCGTCCGTGGCGTGAAACCTGAGCTGCTCATGAGATACAGTGCGGTATTCAAGTCTGGGTCATTCTATAAGTCTTTAAAAGACTTCACGAAGTATGTTCAGATCCAGCCAGCTTCCGTCGTCTGTTCCTCCTCCTAGTCATTCTTTTCACCTTTTTCCCCCAGATACATCTTCAGTGGCAACTCAATTCCACGCTGGCGTGATCGAGTCCTTCTTTTGCATCGATTTACGCATTCGTTCTTTATCATAACAACGCTCTCTTCCACTTTTTTGACACAATGCGTTTCTCTGCATCCGTAATTCTTGCTGCCGCTGCCGCAACCACAGCCTCTGCCCAGGCAGTCGTTGGTAAGGCTTACGGTTTCGCTGCTGGTGTTACCGGTGGTGGAAACACGGCTGCTGCTACTCCGTCTTCCGCCGAGGAACTCGCCGAGTGGTTGTCCGACGACACTCCCCGCACGATCGTTATCGACAAGGAGTACGACTTCACCGGCAAGTCTGCCACCGGAGAGGGATGTGACCGCAAGAGCTGCAGCGCCGCCAACGGTGGTCAGCTGTATCTCGGAGACCTCTCCTGCGGAAGTTCTGACAACACAGTTGCTACTGTAACCTACGATGTCGCCGGCACCGAGCCTTTGATTGTCGGCAGCAACAAGAGTATTCTTGGCGTGGGTGGAAAGGGTGTCCTCAACGGAAAGGGGCTTCGTATCAAGGCTGACGCCAAGAACGTCATTGTTCAAGGCCTTGAGATCACCAACCTGAACCCCGGCGTTGTCTGGGGAGGTGACGCTCTTGACCTTCAGGGTGGTAACGATGGTGTCTGGATTGACCACTGCAAGTTCTCCCTGGTTGGTCGTCAGTTCATCGTCAGCCACTACGACGGCTCCCGCGCGACCATCTCCAACAACGAGTTCGATGGTGTTACTGAGACTTCCGCCTCCTGCAATGGCAATCATTACTGGACCATGATGCTCAACGGTGACGGTGACCAGATCACTCTCGACAAGAACTATTTCCACGACGTCTCTGGTCGCGCCCCTAAGCTTGGCGATGGCGGTACCTTCCAAGCCACCAACAACCTGTTCAGCAACATGAAGGGCCACACCTTCGAGCTATACTCTGGCACTGTTGCTCTTATCGAGGGCAATGCTTTCGAGGCCGTCGACACCCCTTACAACGGCGAGGCATTTTCCAACAGCTTCAATGTTCCTGACGCCTCTGCCGCTAGCGCCTGTCAGTCTCAGATCGGTCGTGCTTGTGCCGTCAACAGCATCGACTCCCGCAGCGGGGACTTCAAGGCCTTGTCAGGAACAAGCGCTCTGTCAGCCTTCTCTAAACTCACCGAATACCTTGTGGAACCCGTCGCTGCCACCGGCGTTTCCAGACTCGTCAAGGGCAGTGCTGGTCCCTCTAACCTCGACTCCAGCTCTGCCGCAACCCCCACCATAGCCACTGATGCCGAAGAGACCACGGCCGAAGGCGATGCCACTGCTGAGGAGGAGCCCGCTATTGTTGAAGAGCCCACCGCCGTGGAAGAGCCTGATGCCAAAAATCCCTCGGCTGATGACAACACCACTTCTTCCAGCGAGACTGCTCAGCAATGGGGCCAATGTGGAGGCAACAACTGGACTGGCCCTACTGCCTGCGCCTCCGGTACATCTTGCGTTGTCCAGAACGAGTGGTACTCACAGTGCCTCAGCTCTGCCGCTAGACGCACCATGAAGTCGCTACGTCGCTCTTAGGGTGTTGTTAGTCTATAGGCTTATCTCAGGATGCCCCCAGGAGTCGCCTATTACATTTAGCCAATCATTTACACCTACACACTGCCTGGAAACTGGAATTACATTGCTACTTCTATTTAAATATAGCTGGTAACTCACATGACCAAAGCAGAGTCGGGGACAATGGTATCATTGCTAGTCGTAAACATTGTTTCTATTCATCAGGAACAACCTCTCATCATGTTGGGTACCATCCATATGACTCTAGCATATTCTCTAAAATTATCGACGAGGCTTGATCTACGCAGGGTTCAGGCGTAGCCAACCTAATTGTCAGCATCACAACGAGTTGAAGAGAACAGTGTAGGCGCGGAGTGGCTCTCGGTCATCAACTATACGTTAGAAAATGCATGGGGCAATAATCAGCCTTTGACTCCAACTATGAAGCTCTTATGCTCCCATGTCCTAGCATTTAGAGGTGTTACACTCGGTGTTCTTTTTTTAGCGGTTGTTCCCAGGGTTACGTCACGGAGCTCGGACGAACTGGGTCAGAATGTGTCAACCCGAGAATCGGCATATTGGGCGTTCTATAAACTCGCCCCCCAAGCAGAATTGCCACCCAGTGAAGGATGTTCTTCGTAGCTTAAACCTGCCGACCTCGGAAGATTAGACAATCTAAACTGTGACACGGGTGAGCGCAGCCGACTGCTTGATCGGGAGATTTCGAGGAGAGGGGTTGGGAGATGTGGGTTGATGACGAGGGACGAGTTTACCATAATAGTTGAACACAAGGAAATTAGATCGGGCACTCAGTGGTCCCTGGCTGGCTTTCAAGCTTGCATAAATGTTTCCTTGTACAGCAAGACAGCTACCTAGAACGACAGAAGTCCCAATTTGTGCTCCATCCAATACTTGGTCCTTTACAGAGATACTTGCCCGCCTGACGCACAAGTGCTATGACGGCAGGATGGCCTAAAAGAGTGACCGATACGAGAAGGATTCAGTTGAGCCCCACAACGCGCAAATAAATGCGGTCCTCTGCAGCAGCTCTTCGTATTCTGCGGAAGGGTTGCAATGGCGGGCTGTGCCTGACATTCGTGTCATAATCTAGCCTACATCATCAGCAGCTACCAGTTTTGAGATAGTGAGAAACAAGTGTAAACAGCTATGTGAACGACATGGATACTATGTACAAAAGTATCAAAAGTAATGTAATGATTGGTCTGAATGTGAGGTGTTATGATCGAGGACTCTGGGTTCGGTGGGGCTAGGAATAGTTCTTAGTGCTGGCACTAGACCGCTAATCGAACTAGCTACCGTCCGCCTCAGGTCTTTGACGGCTCACTTTGTACAACTCTCTTGCAGCAAGTGAACCTGCAGCCAGCGAGCGGCCATTCCCGCTGGACTACCGTGCTGTGCCGCAGGCCAGGCATCGAACCGGAGGTGGCACGATGAGTTGTCCTAGCTCCTCCGCAAGCTCTCGAGTCCTGAGCATTGGCTGTTTTGGCGTACGAGGAAATATGGTGTAACCGAAGCCTATGCATGCATGAGGAAACGGGAAACTGGCTGTAAAACTTGATTCGGCAAGATGAGATTTACATCTTAGCACAATTGACTCGCCTACCAACAGGTGCCATGGCTTGATTGCGGGCATGCATCGGGGTAACTTGCGGGCAAGGATTGTAAGCCTCGAGAGTTCCAAGGGAGGGAACGGCATCGATCAACCTCGTGTGTCCACCAAATGATCGCGCTAGACGGCCTTGTCGGGCATGCATTTGCAAGGGCAAAAGAGCTTTTCTTCACGTTGGAGTATTTAAGGATTGCATCAACCTCACTATTGGCATTTAGACCAGCCACCACAACCTTCCATCCTCAGCATTTTGAAAGCCTTTACAGCGTCCCTTCAAGCTGACCCCACATCAATATGCAGTTCTCTACTATCATCTCCGCCGCCTTTTTGGCCATCGCCTCGGCCGAGAACACCACCTACCCGCCCATCAACTTAGGTCGGTTCTACTACCCCCACGGCAACCAATTCGTTGCCTGGAGCCCTTTCACCCCCACCACTACACAAGAGGTCGCCGAGTTGTGTGATAGCCGTGGCGCCATCAAGGGAACAGCGACCTGGACTGCCGTCAGAGTGTGGAACACCTACGTCTTTGACCCAATCTGTCGCAATCCCTTTAACCTTACCGACGACGCTACCAACACCACTTACTACAACCTTGAGCTCGCCTGCGTGGATGACAACATTCCTATTACGGCAGAGCCAGAGGTCACTGCTGTCGTGGACAGAAACACGAATAAGACTATTGAGTCCTGCGTCCCCGTGCCGACAGATACTGGGATAGGTGGCGGGGTGAGCTGTACCAGGGGTGCTGATGGGGGTCTCAATTTCCAGTTCGCTTGCTCTGCTTGAAGATCAGATTTAACATGGTGGACAATAACTGGGCAAATTTTCTAAAGGGACTGCACATTCGACACGTTGGTTGGTGTCGAGCTAGGAAAGCAGAAACGACCTGGCACAGTCTGATGTATACTTCGGATGCATCAAGGGGTATATTGAGGCGTCGAATCCCAGCTTGTTGCAGCTAATAAACTCTGAGTAGTTGCTGGCGCAAGCATCCCGCCAGCAATTCTGAGAATACTCGGGTGGGAAACCATGCAACAATCAATCTGCAACCATTGCACGTTGCAGATAGTTTATGCGCCAGACAGCTGGAGGTGATAGGTAGGCATCTTTTTAGAAGACAAACGTCAAACAATGATTAATTTTGCTTTAACTGCGTCTTCGATCCTGTTGACTTGTGCAGTGACGAGTAGAATAGGCAGCAAATGCGTTCCGGCGCCAAAATTTAGTAAGCGGCCGAGAACAGATTCACTTGAGCCTAAATCTCAAATTACACATGGATCTAGGTCTGGGGGAACAGAATTGGGGATTTCTTTTCTCGAAGAATTCTTCCCAACCATTTTAGAGGCTCCTACCTTATTCTCTTAACGTGTGGTGACCTTTGGTGTGCGGCAGGTAAGCAATCAGCTGCATGGAGCGTCCTAGCTAGCTGGCCAAACCAACTCATCTTTTAGTGCATGACATAAGAGTAAGCTGAGTGAATGACTCTTCATAGAAATATTGGTAGGATACGAATTGGGGCTAGCGCTGGTGCTTCTCCACGTCCGCACTCCCGTGTGGGGATCGTGAGTAGCGGGACCTAGTCCCTTTAGGATGCATCCTGCGCCAGATGAGAAATAAACCAATTCACCGACTACTCAGGCGTGTATCAGACAGGAGGCGTACGCGATTGCTGTAGTTGAGATGCGATCTCTGTGGGCGTTCATGATGCATTCATCTGCAGTTTCCTCATATTTCAAAATCGACTGGGCAGCACGGGAACGCTGACTGGGCTATATAACATGCTTACCTTCCTGGTCATAGGTGTTTGAGACCGATAACATTTTCAACGCCATTTCTCATCCCATCAAGCATTTCAACCCCACACAATACTGAGCCTCGCTTGGAGAAATTACTCTCAATCCGGCCTTACTGCCTAGTAATTGACCTCTAATTCACAATGCCAGCCAACCGAGCTGCCTGGCTCACCGGCAAGAAGGTCAAGCCTTTGGAAGTCAGGTCAGCGCCTTACACAGCCCCAGGCGAGAATGAGATCGTCGTCCACAACCGAGCTGTTGCCATCAACCCCGTGGACTGGATTAAACAAGAAATAGGCGACTTCATGTACGAATGGGTCAAATACCCCATGATTCTGGGCAACGACATTGCCGGAGAGGTTGTTGAGGTTGGATCTGGCATTAGTGCGAAGCGATTCAAAGTTGGAGACCGCGTCTTGGGTCACGCTGTCGGTCTTGATAAGCGCAGCAACAGGACATCGGAAGCCGCTTTCCAAGACTACGTTGTCTTGAGAGCCAATCTCGCTTCGACGATCCCCGACTTCATCAGCTTCGAGCAGGCGTGCGTAGTCCCCCTCGGTGCATCGACTGCCGCGTCCGGTCTCTTCGCGAAAGATTTTCTCAACTTGCAACATCCGAGGCTTGATGCGAAGCCTAACGGCGAGACTCTCTTAGTCTGGGGTGGGTCGACTAGCGTGGGCTGTAATGCAATCCAGCTCGCGATTGGCGCGGGTTATGAGGTTATTGCGACGGCCTCGCCAAAGAACTTCGAATACCTCAAGACCCTCGGCGCCAAAGAAACCTTTGATTACCGCAGCCCCACCGTCGTTCAGGATATTATCACATCGTTCCAAGGACGAACATCTGCCGGCGCCATCGCTATTGGGGCCAACTCCCTCATCCCTTGCGTCAATATCATCGCAGCGTCCAAGGGACGAAAGTTTGTTGCCCAGGCGAGCGTTGCCGGGCCAGGAAAGCCGCCTAGCAGCATGACTGGTTTGGTGTCCATGATCTGGGCGCTGACCGCTGAGAGTGTCTCAGCCACTGTCAAGGGCAAACTTTCTGGTGTTCGGAGCAAGTTCATCTGGGGAAGCGACGTCATGGCTAACGAGGTTGGCGTGGCAGTGTATCAAGACTTCTTACCTGATGCCATGGCTCAAGGCAAGTTTGTTCCGGCTCCGAAGGCGGAGGTGATTGGCAAGGGCCTCGGATCCATCCAGGAGGCGTTTGGGGTCAGCTACAAGGGGGTTTCTGCAAAGAAGGTGGTTGTGTCTCTCTAGATACCCAAAGCTAGTTGTATTGTTCATTTGTTCTTTGGCGCTTCCTTGCCTCATCAGCGCCAAATCCTGCCTTGAAACTTTTGAATGCCGTTATAATTACACTTGATAAAGCAGAGAACATTACATGTACCCTCCGTGTCTCCTATTGTGTGTTGAAGCTCTTTTGTTCTATAGGACCCATTGTCGATGAAGGTATCTGATACAATTCACTTCTCGGGCTTTTCGCCGTATAGTCCTTTACCAGGCTTGGGGTTCCTGAGGTACGACATAAGTCATCCGATTCCCGTTAACCTCCTTCCTTTTTAGCTTTAGACACTGCGTCAAGACTTGCCAATTTCCACACAGAATGTCGATCAGGTTAGTTGCATCCCCTTGGCGATCGATGAACGGACCAAAACGTCGACTACGCGAGCCAATAGGGAAAAGGTGAACGCGTAACAAGCTTTCCTTAGCGCTGACCGCCAGTCGGCAATGAACCGCGATGTACCTACGTACACATCCATATTCACTACCTAGGTTATCACATACTCACCAACAAACGCTTCGCTCGACACCGCAATCATCTGCCGAGGCGCCTATTATCCCCCAAAGCGGCCCGAGCGCGGGGTAAAGTGTCTGCCTGCCCACGTGGTGTCCGGGGTCCGGGGTCCGGGGTCCAGTCGCAGCGTCCGCGCGCGTCTGACTCCTTGACTCCTTGCTGTATCAAAGACTCACTGCGCGACAACACGGAGGATGATCAAACCTCAAACATGACTAGTACATCATGACAGGCATATCTGACCACATATAGCAGGGCAAGGTCGCTAATTATAAGGCGCTCAGGTTAGCGCGCATCGCCTCGCAAAGAATCACCCGAGGCCTACACAGCCAGCGCTAGGAAAGCTGTCCCTCATGCACTGACGCGTGGGCAGCACTCGGCATGGATAATCTCTTCCGGCGCATTGCCAATCTACTCGTGCGGATCTGGCCTCCGGGATACAAGCTTCTATTGGATCGCTTCAGGTTTTGTTGAAACTACGACACTTGGTGCCGACTTTCCGTATCTTATTCCATCCCCATGACCTTGACCTGAACGAGTCCGGCCGCCTCGCAGCGCGAGCTTCGTTGCCAATGACGCCCTAGTATTGTGAGTTAAACAAGTGTGCAGTGCCATTTGGGAAGGTAACGATAGAAAATGTCCATTATCGGCTATAATTGGAGCAAAATCTTGACGGGTCGACGCTGTATGACATGCCTGTTTCGGCACACGGACTGCCATCCGAGCAGTTTGGACGAAGACGTGCTTAAAAAAGATCAGACAACACACAGCTTAAAAGCAAACGATGTGCCAGCTTCTCGCCGATGGATTCTGAAAGCTCACAGGCGCTCTCATCCGACCCCCCCCTGCCGTGACTCCATCAAGATTGATTGGACTTGACAATGTTTTCGCGAGCCGGCCTCGAACACGCTGGCGCACTCGCCCTTGGCCTAGTTGCCACAGGCTCCCTTGTCGCCGCTGGACCCTGCGACATTTACTCATCTGGTGGCACGCCGTGCGTCGCCGCACACAGCACCACTCGCGCCTTGTACAGCGCCTATGTCGCACCGCTCTACCAGGTGAAGCGCGGCTCTGATGGAGGCACTACCGACATCGCGCCGCTGTCCGCCGGCGGTGTTGCAAATGCCGCCGCCCAAGACTCGTTCTGTACCAACACTACCTGTCTCATCACCGTGATTTACGACCAGTCCGGCCGCAAAAACCACCTCACTCAGGCTCCAGGTGGCGCCTTCAAGGGCCCGGAAGCCAACGGTAACGATAACCTTGCCAGCGCGATCGGCGCGCCCGTCACGCTAAACGGCCAGAAGGCGTACGGCGTCTTCATCTCACCCGGCACCGGCTACCGGAACAACGCCGTCACTGGCACAGCTAGAGGCGACGAGGCGGAGGGCATGTACGCGGTCCTCGACGGCACTCACTACAACGATGGCTGCTGTTTTGACTATGGCAACGCCGAGACCAGCAGTACCGATACAGGCAACGGCCACATGGAGGCCATCTACTTCGGCAACAACACCATTTGGGGCACTGGCGCAGGCAGTGGCCCTTGGATCATGGCTGATCTTGAGAACGGGTTGTTCTCTGGTGCCAACCCCGCCAAGAACACTGGCGACCCTTCCATCACTAACCGGTTCCTCACGACGGTCGTCAAGGGAGGTCCGAATGAGTGGGCGATCCGCGGCGCCGATGCTGCGTCCGGCCCGTTGTCGACGTTCTACAGCGGCGCTCGCCCAAGTGCGTCTGGATACAACCCGATGAGCAAAGAGGGCGCCATCATTCTCGGCATCGGCGGTGACAACAGTATCAGCGGCCAGGGCACGTTCTACGAGGGCGTCATGACCTCCGGCTATCCCTCCGACGCCACCGAGAACTCTGTGCAGGCCGATATCGTAGCCGCCAAATACGCCACCTCGCCCTTGAACACCGGCACGCCGCTGACCGTCGGTTCGTCGATCTCGCTGCGGGTCACCACTCCCAACTATACGGACCGCTACTTCGCGCACGCCGGCGCCACGGTGGCAACCCAGGTCGTCTCGTCCACCAGCAGCGACACTGTCAAACAGCAGGCCAGTTGGGCGGTCCGCGCTGGTCTTGGAAACAGTGAATGCTTCTCTTTCGAGTCCAAGGACGCCCCCGGCAGTTTCATTCGGCACTACAGCTTCGTGCTCCAGCTCGAAGCCAACGACGGCACCAAGCAATTCGGCGAAGATGCCACATTCTGTACGCAGCCCGGTCTCAACGGTCAAGGTGACACGATTCGAGCTTGGGCCTATCCCACCCGGTTTTTCCGTCACTACAACAACGTGACTTATGTCGCGAGCAACAGCGGTGTTCATAACTTCGACACCACTGCCTACTTTATCGACGATGTGAGCTGGGTAATTAGCACCAGCTTCGCTTAAGATGCCACTGGTTAGTCGATTAAAGTGATGAGAGACATGGGGACTGGTTCTCATAACTAAATCTGCAAGACAAGGTTCTACATAGGGCCTCTTTTCATTCTGTTTATCCAGTCTTTAGACTGGCTTGACATTGAATTTGGGTCTCCAAGTACTTCTAACAATAATTACATTACCCTGTCTAATCCGACGATATTGGTTAAAGAGCTAGTTTGTGTATTGTGCATGTATGTGATGGGAAGCGGAAACAGTCAGGTTTCACACAAAGCCTATGACGTGACGTGAGGCATACCACATGGCAAGAGTCCCAAGTTCTGTCGGAACTTGAAGTTGTGTGCAGGTATGACATAACTTAATTCCTCAAATTTGTCGCACGAGACCCTATACTGCTTTAGGTATGGTTCGAGCTGACAGACCTTCCTATGCACTCAAGTCAATCAGTCCAAAACAGGACTCACTGACGGGGGATAACGTTGTTACCGCTGAATAGCGACATCGCTTCAACCATTCAAGCCTCTGAAAACCAACAGTCCTCATAAAATACTATGAGACACGCAACTGGCTTCTTTAAAATCCCGGGTTTGACATTGCGTTTGGCCTTGGCACAGTTTGTTCTCATACGTACACACAACTCGTATCGATAACAACCGGTCGCTGATGATAACGGCGGCTGTGATCGTCAACATACTTCATACTTCTAGAGGAATGTTTCACTAAATCAAGACCACTAGCATCGCCACTGCATCATTCCCACCATCATGTCAGCTAAGGGACTCGAGAACACAATAATGGTTAATCATTCCCATGGTATGTTTTCGTTGCAGCTGCGATCACGCAACTTAATCATCAACGAGAACCATTTCAATACCTTTTGTGTTAACTAACTGTTGAGGCACCTCCAACAGGCTTTTTCTCGCAGTAGAGTCTGCCCCAAGTTGCATTTCAGATGACATGCATTGTCTACTAGCCCTATGCAATGCATAGTCGACCTGTAAGGGTGCCTGCATTCCAAATTGAGGCATAATAAGGCCGCAGCGACAGAGGTATTCAAAGTGATGAGGCACCGATAGCGGATCTTTCATACTTGCGATACTCCAGTCATTATGAGGATTGAGTGATCGCAGTTTGTTGATGTGGAAAGTATTGATACGGATAGATATGCAGACCAATTTCGCTGCGCTCTGGGGACAGCTCTTACTATGCGAAGTCAAGAGTAAATAGGTACTAAGCGCATGGCTGACCGTAACAATTGCCATCAAGCCGACTGATCAAGATTAATGACAAACAACATTAAGTCAGACCACATCAGACTACACGTCACAGGGAGCGCCCTAGTTCGCAGCACATATCATCAGATGAACCCCACGTAGATCACTGATAGATAAGTCGGGCTCGCAATCTGGGTGGCCGGTCTCACTCAGAGCCTGTAAACCTTCACGACTCATGAACACCTTCCACAACCAGCTGATCGAGGGGTAACGGCCCGCGCAGCATGCAATGCACAGCACTCGTTTTCGTGACTTCCAAGCATCCGACAAAGAATAATGTAGACGCCGTCTTTTGGAAAAGACTAGTGTTTATACGAATGGCTACAGACATCCACTTCTCAATCTATGCCTATGGTTGTAGCGTTCAATAGCTTAAATGAAAGCGCGATTTCATTGTGCACCCCACTTATAATCACTAGGTCAAGCTCGCTCCACGATATCAATATGGAGTTGATGCACCCCTATCAGCATCAACCGGGGTGGCCATGTCGCTTTATGTGGTCTCCTCACAATTCTGACTCGCGATGCCGACAGGTGATAAACACATACGATCATGTCCGGCACTTGCATCTTTCAAAATGGGAGAGATTTCCCTTCCCCAGATGGTTCTCTTACCAACGTTGATCCTGCTATGAACCGGAATCCCCAAGTGAGATCTATTACAATCGCCAAGATGGGACAGCCAGGACGAGAAGTGAAAACCAAGATCAAGTACTTCGATGATCCCGGAGTGCCTCTGGTGCCCATGGTTATTGGAGGGTAAGGCGTCATTGGCAGAATAAATCGTTCCTAAGCTAACGGAGGTTTGGAAAGCCCTGAGCCTGGCAAGCCGCAACCGAAAATCGAAATTCCAACGACAATTACCGACATCACCGGCAGAGAAGATGAATTCACGCTTGACGTCCAGGGATTCCACTACGTGAAGCACGAGAGTCAGGTGACGAACTGGGATGACGATGAAGAGATCAAGCGAGTGAACTATCCAGAGATGGAGAAACTATGCTGGAAGGTCTTATCGGAAACTGAGAATATGTAGGTGAGCCCATTGATGGAATAATAAACTCATTCATTACCAGTTGTATTGAAGTCAATTGATGTCTTTGCTGATGCATGATATAGGCCCAAACCTTGCTTGGTTCATATTATGACGCACATCATCCGTCGTGGTCCCAAGGACGGCGAAGGCCCCAAAGGTCCTGCGCCGTTATACGGCGTCCACGTTGACCAATCCTTTGCGGCGGCTGAAGGTGTCGCCCAGAGATGGTTAGGAGATAGAGCAGAAGAGTTACTCAAGAAGCCACGATACCAGATTATCAATGTGAGTATCTTATTAGACTCATGCGACTGCTAAAGCTAACCAAAGAATCTAGATGTGGCGACCGATCCGCCCTATTACCCGGGACCCATTCGCGGTCTCTGACGCCAGATCCATCCCAGACTCGGACCTGGTGTTCGTGCCTGTACGCTTTCCGGACCATGACACTGAAGCCGTTGAAGTGCGTCCTCCAACGAACTCGCCTCATAAATGGTACTTCAAGGATCAACAGCAGCCAGACGATGTGTTGTTCTTCAAACAGGTAGATTCGAGCACAAAGCCGGGTGTCCCCAGAAGAGTTCCCCATTGTGCTTTCAAGGACACAGAGCTGCCCGAGGGGGCCGGCGACCCAAGGATGAGTATTGAGGTCAGAGCCTTTGTTTTCTACAATGAGGACTAGTTAGAGCTGAGTGCATGGTTTGGGAGTCAGATGTTGAGACGAACATTGTCCCAAATATAGGATTTCTCCCATTATAACCTTACCTCGTTGGCATGTATATGTCAAGTCAATAACTTGACAGTGTATTTGCTAGCATGCACAGACGAGGCTGGATGGAGACTATCTCTTCACATGTTGTCAAACGTCATATGTGTAAAATTCTCCATTAATATCTGGTTCAGAATTGCCATCAACGTATAAGGATACCCCTTCGGGTGCTCATCAGATTTTATCAAGAGATTTCCATTGCAGTTCACCTACACATAAGTCTTCGTCTCACATGCATCGTTCTAAACTATTTGTCCAGGTCTTCATCTTCTTCCACGTGAAGAGCAAATTCTAGCCCTTGGCTTTCACACAATTCTTGTATGGTCCACTTATAATCTTTCGCTCTGGTAGTCTAGACATCTTGAAGCCAGCGAGGACCAATACCCACACACTGTAGCTGCGGCGTCACACCTTTCCAGCTTTCACTCAAAAATGATTCAAGCCACCTCATAAAAGGATCTCCGATCCACTCATCGGAGGGGTCAGAGTGATAGAGATCCTGCCTAATAGTAAGGTGTTTGATGCTTGGTGGTAGGGAATGACTAAGCGGCGACTCTTCTAAACCTGTGTCCTGGCCGTAAAGAACTCCCAGACAAACTTCGATGTCCTCCAACGCAGTCATGTCGCAAAGAGGCACAAGGCTTCCATTAAAGACGTGCGTCAAATTTGGATTGTCAAGAGCTTCAACTCCACGAATCTTGAACATGATTTGCAGGCGTAAGACACTATGGCGGACATGTTCCAAGCCTCATCGCAGAGCAGACAAGTCCAGTATATGTCGAGATGATATTAAAGGACAATCCTATACCAGGGTTTGGAGACTTGGTGTCTGTTGCAGCAACGACTCCATGGTCTCGTCCGACGCCTCTGTGTTTTCGAGACATGGCGTAGTCAAACTAGTTGCGTTGGGTGTCCAAGGCAACGGCCATGATAACCGCCGCCTTCGGCCATAGTTAGGACCAAGACTAAGGCTATTGATCCCTGTCAGATAGAATGCAATCATAAGAACCTCATCTAATAAACCCTTTCTCTGCGTGTTTGCAGTCATCATTGTGAGTTGTGTCAACTTGTCAAGTTTCCATGATTGACAGGTTTCCATCAGTGACGGTATTCTATACCTGAGCAGTGCAGGAAGCCATGCCTGATTGAGCAAGACGAAGTCGATAGCCACATTAAGGGTTCGAAGTTCTATGCATTGTGCCAAAAGAAGTGCCATGATTGCGCTGAGGTCATTATGTTCGATAACAGCTCCCACCAATGCTTCAGATGTGTTGCAACTTCAGTTCATCGAACGCCCGTCTGACCAAAACTTTATCTTTGTCACCCTCCATACGAAGACGATTGGATGGCCTTATGGGCTGCTTCCCATCGCTATATCTGGGAGCGTAGTAAGGCAAATCGTTGCAATGCGAGGCGTTGAAAGTAAGGTTATTGATCAATTTGGCTCGAGAGTCTCCCAGGACTGTTCGCAGAAGGCCTGTGATCTTTGGTGACTATTAATCATACTTCCTGGCGTCCCATGAAATTACGATTCTCCGATAGGCTAGAGGCATGACCTTGTCGTGCAAGTCTTGACACGTTTCGCTTAGGTTGAGTAGATTATTTGGATCAATTAATTCCGCAAAGTTTGCATCTTGGAGTTCAATAGGGATGCTAATCAAAGAATCCATCTTGCAAGCAGCCGGTATGCGTCAGGTCTGTCAGCAAAAGCTGCGTAATTTGATAAATTCAGGTTGTATGCAGTGTTAGAATTTTAGTCACGGAGGGCGTTCCGAATGGTCAGCAAAAGGAGACACATAAAAGGGGAAAGAATATCGTTTGCAACACTCGGCTTTGGTGAGGTAAAATCTCCTAGTTAGTCCTGGCGCGGGGTACAGCCCTATAGGGAATTTACTCAGACAATTTGGCACCCACACTATCATTGGCCAATTGAGCTCGAAGCAATCCGATAAAGCATTCATAGGTGAGAGAGTGCTTGGTATCAGGTTGACAGTCACAATACTGTAAATAATCATCATTTGTCCGGAATAGAAGGTAAATTACTAAGTGGCAGCTCAATGCCCGGGAACCCTGTTGGTCTACTTAATTTTGTTACATCAACCCACCATTGACTCATCGAACCATCGGAAACAGGAAATGTGATTTAAATGACGGGAGCTCTTGCTTCACTTGTAACCCAACTCAAATTTTGGGCAAGCATATATAGATATAGTAATAACGACGAAGACATACAGCTCTGCTACTAGGTTATTAAACCGAAATGTCAAACTTTAAGGCTCGATTAGCCTTAAAATCGATATGAACTTAGGAGAATCATCCCAAGTGTCGCTAAATAACAGTGCTGTAAGGTTTCCTCTAGAGCACCCTTCAAAGTCCGTTCAGGCAAACTCTAGTCTGTCCATATCGGGCTTTCGGTGATGACGTCCTTGACTCAACCACGTCCATGTCACCATCATTTATGAGTGGTCGACTGACTTTAAACAACATTTTAGTTTGTCCGCACGGTTCATCAACTCAAGCTTCATCTCAAAAGTGCGGCCCAGGGGCTTCACACCATGAGGGGCCTCGTGGGGTATTAAACAGTTCCGGGGGGGGGGGCATGCTTTTGGATTGTAAGTTGACTTCGAAGGATAGCAATAGCCGTGACATCTTCAGTTGCCGAATGATGGGGTCTTGTTGCTTCAGGGACTAGATACAGAATTTGTTGACTTGGGACTTCATATTGCGTTGTCCGCCGAGGCAAGTCCTCAATGTCTCTGGCTATATCCCATTCAATTAGTCAAATGGCGAAAGACGCGTTTCGTGATCAAAAAATTTCATGTATTAAATCGATGAGAGAAGTGAGAGGGGGTATATAATACAAGATAACTGATGTATATGGTGTCCAAAGCCGATAACAATGCCAGATGCCCCTTGCCAAACATATGCCGTATGCTTCTAAATCCTGTTTGCCGCCGCCAGTTTCCTAAATTGAACACTCAAAATGCAGCGACTAACTTCCAACCGGTCCGGTGAATTCTAGCTGCGAGGATGAACGTTGTACCCGCGATACAGAATACTCCAGAGAAGACCTTGATGCCAACCCATCCGCCAGAGCCAGCCAAAATTGCACCATTGATTGGGTTCGTCGTCAGACCACCAATAGAGTTGGTAAAGAACGTGATACCCGTCCGGAAGCCAATCTCGTGGACCGGCGAGATCTGAGCCACGAGCGGTGCAATCAAGGACACATACGCGCCGGAACAGACGCCGAAGAGCACGGCAAATGCAATCAGCGCTCCATCTGTGCTGGCAGGGATCCAGAGCGCGAGCACCCAGATCGCGGTGAGGTAACACACCACAATAAAGATGTTGTACCTTCCAATCCTATCACCCAGGATGCCTGAGCCGATGCGCCCGAACAGACTGCCAGCGTTAAGCATGGCGACAAGGTATTGCGCTAGGTTGGGGTCCATGCCGGCCGCAAGCGCCTGCACCTGGATGTAGGTGATGGGAACATAGATGCTGTAGGTGATGAGGAAGAAGCCTATGGTAACACACACAAACTCAGCCTCCCTGAAGGGGCGGAGAAGCTGCTCTCGGGTGAACTTCTGCGGGCGTGGCGGGTGAATTGCTTTGACGGTAAGGTTAGCGATGATGAGCAGGCCGAAAATCATGAAGGCACAGATGCGCATCGTCCAGCCATAGCCGACGGACTTGATTAGTCGTGTAACCATGATGGGGAAGACGATGCCGCCTATGCTGGAGCCGGTAGCAAGCACACCAAAGGCGGCGCCGCGGTTGACGTTGAACCAGCCGTGGATGGTGTTAAGCGCGGGCTGGAAGATTGCCGCGACGCCAAGGGCGGAGCAGATGCCTTGGGCGAGAAGAATCTGCCAGTACTTGGTCGAGAGGGACGTCATCATGATACCGAAGACGTGAAGGAAGGTGCCGATCAGAATCAGCCAGCGAGGGCCATGGTTGTCGTATATTTGGCCGATGACGGGGCCCTAGTGATGGTCAGTATCGATGAGCTGGAAAGGGATAGGACGAAAGACCGGTGCTTACCAAAGCCATCATAAAGAAGATTTGAAGGGAAGGGATCCATGAAATGGTACTCGCCGAGTAGTTGCTGAGCAAGTTGGTCTGGTAGTATTCCTGGAAAACTCCAACGCCTAAACTTTGTTAACTTCCGCAATTCTAAACGAATTTCAACCTCAGGATTATTTAGATCGTGACATACTGTTGACCCAACCGAAACTGCAGAAGGATGTGCACCACGCTCCAAGAACCACAAGCCAGGCCGTCGCGCCGCCGTCCGGCGCATCGCTTCCGGGGTACGACGGCTTCGCGCCTCCACCGGGCGAATCGGCGCCGGCGCCCTTCTCAGGATCAGATTGCTGGATCGTCGACGGGTGATCGGATGAGTAGTCTGTTCTGTCCGGGTCCGTCTTGGCTGTTACGGGCGGTAGGGGTTCGGTAAAGGTCATTTGGGAATCCGCTGGGGACGAAGGGTGTTCCTGTTTCAACATCTTGCTAACGGTGTCGCTCGTCGGTCATCCGTTCCGGACTATGCAGTAACGAAGATCGCAAACTTTAGTAATTGCTACAAAAACCTTGATAAAAGGGATGAAGTTGTTGTCTATCGTATCGCGGGTCGAAGCTTAACAAATAGAGACGAAACAGCCGGGGTGGAGAAGGACTAAGTACTCTGGACTGTCAAGTAGCCCTGAAAAACATGGATGCAAAAATAGACAACAAGGGATCTCATCGTTGCTGCGGCCCTTGTCCGGCGTCCGCGCCGTAGGAGATGATGTTGTATTGTCAGACTAGGGTTGCACCACTCGAATGCATGGGAATTAGCTTCTGATACGACCGAAAAAGTCCGGCATTAGCATAGTGAGTCCGACAGCCACGTGCTATGAGCCATTGCTCCAGGAATCTAGCACTCTTGCAGGCTTCGCGACGCGAGGTTTTGCGAAATTGGCGTGCTCAGGGGGCGGTATTGATGTGGGAAGTCATTCCTTTCGGCGGCCGGCGCTCATTTAACCACCGATGCCGAGGGCCACCGCTCGGCCAATCTGAGTGCGCTCGGGCCTCTTTGGAACCATCGGCGCCGAATGAGGTGACCCACAGCGGCGATAAGTATGCGATCCTTGAGTACTGTCCCCTGTTTTCTCATCGCCGAAATTAGGTCTGCGTATCTGTAGAGTCTAAGGAGTCTTGCGAGGCTGGCCATCATCAATCAGGCCGGTGGGCTAGCTCGTTAAGCTTGTTTCTCTTCAATCGCTTCATTACTAATGTGGTTTGCCTAAATGTTCAGGGTATAGCATGCTTTGAAATCTTGGTCTGTGACTTGACTTCCAGCTCCCGGTTGCTTATACAATCTGTGTACCCGTTTTCTCGTTTCTCTCTTGTCGATGCTTACTCCGACGTTCTCGGCCTATACCGATATCACCGAGCCACGCTGTTTGAAATGCCGTCATCCAGGGATGGTTGATCCCCGAGGAAGGCGTCGCGCTTACGTGTGGCTGACCCGACACGGATCGCAATGCACCACCAAAAGAACACAAGATGCCCGGACAAAAAACATGTCCGCGTGGCATGGACCACAGAGCCGGAGGCCAATCAGTGTATTCGGTCTTTATTGTATTACCACCGGCACCGCGGCCACAGCCTACCGTCTCCGTCTATGCCGATGATGACGGGTCTCCTACTAGACTTCCGTTAGCATCATTAGATTGAATGATGGCAGTGAATGACGTACGAGAGTTTCCACAGGCTGTAAAAAAGTGGTCTATGACTATTGCCAGGTGGGCGACGTTGGGATATCTCAATACTGATCAGAATCAAAGGGTATCATCCGAGACAATACAACAACCATTGCTCAGGTTCACACCATTTCTGCAACATCAACAGCCGCCACAGCATGGGGTGACTTTTGGTCGCCTGACACCTGATCATGGCGATATTCGACGTGACCGAAGGGCTCGTTATTCTTCAAAGGCCAATTCGTGTGTACCGACTTCATCTCGGCGTCTGGCACGTCGTTGGCGGCCTGTCGCCCGAAGCTCTTGCGCCGGACGGACTTGGGCATTTGCGGTAGGCTTTGCAGCGCCGCAGCACGGTCGAAGACTGTGGGCGACTGCGGCTCGTTGGACATGTAGAAACGCTTGGCAATGTTGGGCGCCACGTGCTTGATGAAGGCTTTAAGGAAAGGGAGGCAGGTGCAGATGATGCCCACGTTGGCTTCTACCACGCTGTGGGAGGTTAATGTTCCTGGAGACATATGCTGATGGGACAGATTGCTTACCACCAGATGATGCTAATGGAGGCGGTCCAGGTAAAATCTGAAGTGTTGAATCCGAGGGGAATCATGACCAGGCGCACGACGCTTGGTCCTATGACACTGCCACACTGTGAGCCATGATCTGGAAGACGCCACCAAGAGATTAACTAACAATCCACCCGCCATGAGGAAGATGGTCATTTCGATTTTTTTGACCAGTCTCATTGACAAAGGCGACAGGATCCAGATGGGAAGCAATAGAATAGCAAGATCGGTGGCGACGTCGGAGACGGACAGCATCAACCACCACATGGCTCGATCAACACACGTCCCCGGCAAGTCCGTGTTCCAGATCTTCTCCATTGGCGTGCAGAGATAGGCCCAGCTGAGGGCGCCGGCCATCGAGTACGCCACAGTTGCAAACATGACCACATATACCGCGATCTTGATCGTCCGTTTCAAAGGAAAGCGTAGGTAGAAGACCAGAATCGAAACTTTGGTAAAAAACACGGATAAGCTGTACGCAGCAAGATCTGCCATGCTCAGCTTGTGGAATGCAATAGCCTCATTCTTGCTGACATCCCAGATATGGTGTCCCTCGCCATTGCGGGTTTCGTAGATCTGGATGGCCGAGTATGCAGTCGCAAAGACAAGGGCAACGAAGATCAGGTTGTCATCGAGCTGGTGGCGGAGGATCACGACCTTTGCGGTGTAGAGCCGAATGGCGCAGAAGAGGATGGCGAGCAAGTTCAGCACGATAGCAACGGCTAGAACCTGCGGGACCAGGGAGTCAGTAGGGTTCTCGAAGTTGGATTGCACGCCCGGCGGGGGCGGCGCCGCGGCCACGAGGTCATCTTCGGTTATAGTCCACATTGCATGATGGAGAGTTCGAGGGCGAATTTGATCGACACAGGCTTGTCTGGTGTCAATTGACATGACAGATTGGCATGGAGGGTGGTTCGTGTCGGGACTATTTAGCAACGGCTTGAGTCGCATTTCCCCCACGACTCAGTCCGGCTTGCCATCACGGGATTTGGTTCATGGGGAGATGAAACGATGATGTTAATCCCCGGGCGCACTGACTGGTTCGATAGGTTGTTTCCAAGGCACTTTGGCCATCGGGAAACCCGACTGTCCAACTGCTTCATATCACAAAGTTTATTCCGTTTCTCTCGGGATGGAGAATGGGTCTTGCGGCAGGAATATTTGGCACCCATAATCGGCAGTAAAGCTGCTCCAAGGCAAAGAGCGCGGCTCGGAAGCCGGCAACCTAAGTCCCAGGACCTTCGCCATCTTGGCTTGTTCCTGAGTCTAGCGGCCGTTGGCCCCTGAAGATCTCTCGTTTCGCCAAGCGCTAGGCAAGGCTTAAAATTGTGCCTCGAGCTCAAAGAAGCATAACCAAATTATCCCGGTGGCTTCTTACTGGATGCCCAGACGGGATCGCTTGCGGTTGGGGAAACGGCTGGTGCGGCGGAGAACGTTTGTTTCTGGAAGCTTAAATCGGCGTCCCTTCGGAACTAGGCAAGGCACTCGATAGGCTATTTACGCGGATCGACCACTGCTAGCAACTAGGTGGACCGCGAATCGTGGTGCTGCGATAGGGCGACCATCCCCTCGTAGACACGGCCTCCATGGTCGAGGGCTGCAGTGGGTGAGTGGGCACGCAAACGAGACCAATAAGCTTCCGACGGCCGAGTCGGTAAACTGAAAGAAGCTTTTGTATCCAGGGCTGACAAGGGTGTGCAGCCATGTGTTGGAAACAAGAAATATGGCCGATCATTCTTTTTTGCGGAGACAAAGCGAATCTTACCCTCTGCTAGTTCGACTTGTGAAATCGTGGTGACACAGTCTCCCAGGGCTTCATCCTGGACCTGACGCACCACGAGCGGAAAGCTTAACCTAGCTTTGGTTCGCAATTGTTGGGGTTGGCCTACCCGCGTTCTTCTTGTTCTATCTGGACGAGGAGCCCTCCAACTTGATGTGCTGATCTGCCGCCAGAACGGATGACGCGATGCGGACGGATTGCGGTTGCACATACCAAGGGATTTTAAGTTGAGTTCCTGCCGCGCCAGTCTCTTGATTGCGGTGTTGCGTCTTTGCCACGAAATGAGCCAAGATCATCAATTCATCCCAAGAGTCGACCACACAGAGACTGGATAGAAAGCAGAAACCCGACGAATGCGGGTTGGGATTGGTTGCAACTTGACAAAACGGCCCGATGTTGGAAACTTCCACCCCTTGAATAAGTGCTGCCCAAAGTTGACGATGCCCTCGTAAGAGACAAGACGGCCAGTCGTCGGCACACGGCTTGGTGTTATGTGCCAAGGGGTGACGTTGAGAGAAGCAGCAGTTCCTGCATACAAGTGTCGGTTCTTAGAGATCAAGCTTCAAGCTCATGTTACGGGTTGCGGGGAAGGCCAACCTCAACTCCACCGCTTTGGCTTCGCCACAAGGGAGCTTAGACACCGACGGCAGCTTGCCGTACACTCATCGGCAATGATTGATATCTGTCATACCTCAATGTGCCGGAATCTTGACAAACCTCAGCGTACAAACTGATATCGGACTTTTTGGGAAGTTCAAGCCGGCTTAACCTCCAAGAGTCCCTCGAGTCCTTGCTTCGAATCGTGAGACAGACATTCGTTTCGATCCGGTCTGCCATCTAAAGATGCGTACATCACAACGTCTGTGCGGGTTGACATTGTAGTTGACTGGATGAAGTCATCCCCCCTGTTTCGGACCACACGATGCAGACTGCGCAATGTCAGAAATAGTATAGTGTAAAGAGACCATGAGTTCGGCTATCGCCAATTGCCGTCATGCCTCGTGGTCCGGTCCAGGCATCTTGACCGGACCCTTATTGAAATCTTACCTTGGAGGGCCAAATCTGTTATCTCATGGAGCTCAATATGCCGATATGCACAGAGCTCCCGTTCCTGCAGGCCGCAGGAGAAAAGGGAAGGTCGCAAGAAGGTTACATCAGCAATGGAGCCCGTGCTATTCCCAAACGTGAAGTTGCATCGCCAATTAACCGCCATCCAGTATGCTTAATACGAGAAAAAGGCATGGCAGAGAAGATGTTGGCTTTCCATTCCAGAAGCTCTCCTATTGAGATGCAGCTTGGCGCAGGTATGGTGCAGATAGGAGTATGAAAGAGCGCGACAGTCCGCGTCTTCAGTATGTCGACATGCCTATGAGACGTTGCGTGCATATCAAGTAGCCATCTTAGGAAGTCCGCAAGGCTTAGATAGGGAAAGGTCAAAGAATGCCAAGATGCTTCATTGAAATGCCCTTGTCGATCACCCATGCTTCACGGGGGTCGTAGCAATGAATACGAAGAATTGGCAGACTGCGGTACCATGCATGGCCAATCGTTCACGCAACGAAACACGCCGAAGGCGCCTGGATGTTGGTACTTGGACGTTTATGAGCTGATTTGCGGACAATGTTCGTCGTCATATATAACGTGCTGTCGCGATGCCTTCAGGGAAAGCGCCGTTTCAAGGGCACCTCTTTTGCCCTCCAAAGTCCTTCAAGAGCTTCATTCAGGGATCGGTAACCGTAAAACAGGATGCAGCTGTCTCGTCTCCTCCTCACCGTCACAGGCGTTGTCAGCGCTATCGCGCACCGTGATCACCCGCTTATGCGTCGGGCCGACGACAACGCCCCCGATACCGCCGCCAACAAGACCACGGTAGAGCCCAAACGGTTCATCGTCGAGTTTGACAAGGTGTGTTTCCGTTGTCTTGTCTTATCTGATGAGGAGTTGAGCAGTAACTTACGCAACCTCAGGGTACCAATGCCGCGGCTGTGGCCGCCGACATCGTCAACCAGCGTGGCGCCAAGATCCTCCGCGTCTTCAGGAGTGACATCTTCACGGGCGCCGTGGTGGAGACGGGCGTCGAGAACATCGACTCACTACAGGCCCTCGCGCCGGTGAAGGAAGCATGGCAGTCACGCAAACTAAAGCTCGCGCCCAGCGCTCCGTTGGCGTCATTTAGCAAAAATGCGACTGCGATTGACTATGATATCCACCACATGACTGGTGTAGATAAGCTGCATGAGGCCGGCGTGCTGGGCAAGGGTGCAAAGGTTGCCGTTGTTGACTCTGGGATCTGGTATACTCACGAAGCAGTAAGTAGCTGCTGTACTGTGAGAGTCAAATTCAGGCTGACGTGGAGTAGCTTGGTGGCGGCTTTGGAGAGGGATTCAAGGTTGCTGGTGGTTACGACTTTGTCGGTGACGGATGTGAGTCAGTTTCACCTCCCAAGGTATTTGATTTCGGTATTGACTACATGCTCAGCATGGCCAAATGAAGGCGAAGTGAAGAGCCCCGACGCCGATCCTCTGGACCAGCAAGGTCACGGAACGCATGTTGCCGGTATCATCGCTGGCAACAGCAGCGTGTAAGCTGCTGAAACACATAATCAACACCCGAATTTCAAGAAAGGAGCTGACACAACACGACTGTAGTTTCACTGGCGTTGCTCCGGAAGCGACTCTTTACGCATACAAGGTATTCAGCTCCGTCGACGGCACCGATGAGGATACTCTGATCGAGGCCTTCCTCGCAGCCTATGACGCAGGTGTAAGTAACTCCAATCCCTCGCGGGCACCTGCAATGGCTGATAAGGCCACTCCAAGGTCGACATCATCACCTCCTCCATTGGCGGGGTAAACGGCTTCGCAGACAACGCCTGGGCCGTCGTCGCCTCCCGACTTGTCGACCAGGGCGTTGTCGTCACAATCTCTTCCGGGAATGATGGCCAAGGCGGCGCCTTTGCCGCCAGCAGCGGCTCATCAGGAGAGCACGTCGTCGCCGTGGCATCCATTGAGGCCGATGTTCTCGCGTCCTCGTCTTTCAGGGGCGTGTTCAACCTCGACGGCCAGTCAAATGAGACACGCGTGGCGTACAGGGCCATGGAAGACTGGTTCCCCTCGGAGGTCAAAGACTGGCCCATCTTCCCTCTCGGCCTCAATACCAGCGCCGCTGACGAGGCATGTAACCCGTTGCCGGCAGGCACGCCCGATTTCACTGGCGTCGTCGCTCTCGTACGCCGTGGCGGGTGCAACTTTGACCAGAAGCAGCGCAACCTCGCCGCTTTCAACGCCTCCCACATTCTCTTTTATAGTAATGAGATGCCGCTTGTGAGACCAACCACCCAGGATACGAGCAGCCTCATCGCCATGGTTGACGCGCGCGTCGGCATAGCCATCATCGACACCATCAAGGCCGGTGGCAATGTCACCGCAGACTTTACCGAGCGGCCCATCTACCACATCGTCGGCATCAAGAACGAGGAGAACGGCGGGGTTGCCAGCCAGTTTACGTCCATCGGAGCGACGAATGACCTGTTCATCAAGCCCGACATTGCAGCGCCTGGCGGACAGATTCTCAGCTCGTACGTTGGTGGTGGCTACGCCATCCTCAGCGGGACTTCGATGTCGTGCCCGTACGTGGCCGGTATTGCGGCCTTGTACGTCAGCAAGTTTGGTGGTCGCAGCGTCCATGGGCCAGAGTGGGCAAAGCGTCTTGTTATGCGCCTGATTGCGTCCGGAGACGCCATCACGTGGGACGATGGTCAGCTGGAGAACAATCAGTATGACTTCCTCGCGCCCGTTGCGCAAGTCGGTGCTGGTCTCATCAACGCCAGCAAGGTCCTTGAGTACGAGACGAGTCTGTCGTTTGCCAAATTTGCTCTCAACGATACCCACCACTTCAGCCGATACCACACGGTCGACATCACCAATACCGGTTCCCAGCCCGTGACGTACGCCTTTGCGCAACAGGAGTCGGGCGGCATGAACACCGTCAACTTGGACCCCAATGAATGGGGAACGCCCAAGATCGCATGGTTTGAGGAGACCATGGTCGCGCCGCAGAAGATGACCCCTCGAATCTCTTTCCCTGGCGGGTCATTCACCGTCCAGCCGGGCGAGACAAGAACAGCTCAATTCAACTTCAAATACCCCGAGAACCAAGACCTCGACCCGGCCAAACTGCCGTTATACAGTGGCAAGGTCTTGATCAAGGGCAGCAACGGCGAGACGCTCGGCGTGCCGTATCTTGGTCTTGCCGCCGACCTGCACAAGGACGTCGGTATCATGTTCCAGTACCCGATCGGCTTCCCGCGGATCACGTCTACTCGCCGGAATATCCCCATCGCAGACAAGTCCAACTTCACCTTCAATCTAGATCCCGCGGTCCAAGACTTCCCCAACCTGTACGCACGAATTCAGTACGCAACGCGCGAGCTGCGGTGGGATATTTTCGAGGCATCTTGGGTCGAGAGAGACTGGAAGTATCCCCCGGTCGTCGGTCAGGCGGGCTTCGTGGGCGCAGCAACGAGTTGGGCCAAGGCTTCGGGCAAGGTCTTTATCGATCCCAGCGTCGACGACCGCAACGACATCGTCACCCTGCCCATGCGTGACGTGCCCAGAGACATCGTGGGAGTGTATGGCGTTGAGCTGTGGTGGCTGGGCCGTCTGGCGAATGGTACCCAAATTGCCCCCGGCAAGTACAAGATGCGCTTTGCGGCGCTGGTTCCCTTTGGCAACCCCGAGGCGTCGGATAACTGGGACATCTTTGAGACTCCCGCCTTTGAGGTGCTGCCGCTTGAAGTCTAGGCAACGACAACGGAGGAGCTGGGGTCAAAGTGCGGGCTATACCCTTTGATTCATGTTGCAAGAGATAATAAACGATTGAGAGGCTGTGTGCATTGCGGAAACAACGTGCTGTTTTGATGTGCCAGAGATCTTGCCTGCCATAGACAGTGAATAACCATGTAGGCGGTCGTGTCAAAGGCACCTGTCAAAGAAGAGTTAGTGGGGTTTGCATATCCCGAGACTAAAGCTGGCTCACTGAATACAATCATGCCTCTTGCTCATCAGACCCGAAGGAAAGTGTGTGTATTTTCTCCACGGGGGACTCTGTTCCTGCCACCAGATGAACACTTTCAAATATGCGGGGGAAAACAGTATGCATGTTTGTCCTAATAATGACAAACAGCATTGGTTCAGTGTGATTTGGAATGAAAGCAAAAGCTTGGATTGGGTATTAGGTATCAAACTTGTGACTCGAAGGTGCCGCCTCAGGTTAGGCCTACAGCCTCCTTATCTGGTATAGATGGCTACAAATGACTGACTCCTCAAGAAGAGTGCTTTCTGGTATCTTGAATCTCATCGACTTGTAAATCAATTGTTCTCCGTCACGTTCCGGCTAAGGGGCTGGACTCGCTCGGCCAGGAACATATCCTCGGCGGTAAGCTCGTATTTGCCCGACTTGCGAGCCGAAATGCCCTTCTGGAACATGACATCCATCTCACCAAAGGTGCGGCCCTTGGTCTCAAACATGCGGAAGTAGCCCCAAATCCAGGTCAGGGTGGCGAGAACGGCCCAAAAGAATGCCTGGCAGCCAGTCAGTCTCCGCAGACCATGGTGAGAATAGAGGGTTGAGGTTTACTTACAGTCTTTCCCTTCAAGTTCCAGTCTCCAGGTGCCAACATCTTGGGCTGGATGAGACCACCACAGATGATGTTACCGACATAGTAGGTGCTGCGAGCCAGGACGACAGTCTGGGTTCGAAGACGGGTTGAACCAATTTCGGAAACAAGGGTGTATACGATCGGGCCGACGGACATGGAGTAAAAGCCAAGCCAGACAACGCACAGAATCGACTGGCCCCAGATGATGCCCGTGGTCTGGTTAGGGGCAACTGAGAGAAATCCAATGATCCACAAGCAAGCCACAAGCAAAGTGAACCCGCTCATCCAAATGGTACGGCGACCAAACTTGTAGATGTAGAGCCAGGAAATGCATGTGCCGACGAACGCAATGGCGGTGCCTCCCAAGCTGATTGCGTACGAAGTGGAAGCATCAATACCGGTCTGCTGGAAGAAGAAGGAGCCTGAGTAGCAGAGGGCACCACCATTGGTGATCTGAGACATGAAGGCCATGCAGGCGATCTCGGTACGGCGAAGGTTCGTGCCCTTGAAGCAGTCTAGCAACGTAGCACCAGCTTGCTCCTCAATCTCGAGCTTATTAGTGTGCACCATCATGGCAACAGTCGCATCCAGGTCCACGTTGTGCTCGGGCTCCGAGAGGCGTGCCAATGACTTCTTTGCGGCATCGAGATTGCCGTTACGAACATGGTACCAGGGGGACTCAGGGGCCATCCAAGCCGCAATGATCAGGGGGATGGGCCAGACCCATTGGATAGCAAAGGGGATCTTGTAACTCCATTGGCCATCGACGTCGACAAGGCCCTTGAGAACACCAGCAGAGATGAACTGGCCAATGCACCAGCAAAGGTTGACGTAGGAGGTCAAGTAGCCACGGATAGCCAAGGGAGTGACTTCGGCTGCGTAGGCGGGGCCGGTCGTGGCGAAAACACCCCAGGGAATGTTGCAGAGAACCTGACCAGCCAGCTGCATCTCGATGTTGTGGGCGAAGAAGACGACGAAAACGAAAGCGGCCAACCAAATGAGAGAAGTGATGAGGACCATGCGGTGACCGTACTTGGGGGTGAAGTATCCGTTCAAGATGGCACCGACGATGTTGGCCACGGCGCCAATGGCGTTAAACTTTTGTTGCCACGAGGATGAGATTTGGTAGCCATTCTCGTCGTCGAGCCATTCGCCATACTTCTCACGAAACGCAGGGTAGCCGTAGAAGGAACTGATGAGGGTCACGTCGTAACCTTCCATAATGACGGTGGTCGAGATGACTATATTGAGTGTGCGTTAGTCCAAAATCGGAGATGACAGCCCTCGTTCTCGATGTTGAAACTCACGGATAGACCAGAAAGCGGCCCGCTTGTAGGTCTTCAGACCCTGCCAGAGGCTGAAGCTGTGCTCGATGTTGGTACCCTCGTGGGCCTCAGAATTGAGGCCTTTGTCGTCGAGGGGGACATCGTTGAGCTGGTGAATATGAGAAGGGCCCTTCTCGACGTGGATGCTGTCTTGCGGCTGCGACGCCGTCTTCTCGGTAATGTCGTTGGCCATGGCTGCGAATGCTCTCGGACTGCTTCAGGCTGTTGGTGATTGGCAAGCTCCCGTTGCAGAGTCGTATCGAAGAGAGACAAGAGGACCAGGCACAGGGAGCTGGGGAGGCGGCATCTGGGGTATTTTAAAGTCGCGTCGATGCGAGACCAACGTCGTACCAGAGAGCCGGCTTCTCGTTTCTCATGCCATGGCTGCAGCACGCATGGGGTTGGGACTGGAACTGGGACAAGCATGGCATGGACGGGATGGGGTAGGATGGGCCAACCCCGTGGAGAAAGAGTTTGTTTCCCCAAGCTTGGCCCTCTGGGTGACCATTCCCCAATCAGACCAGGTTGGCGATCACTCCTCGTGCCGGGGAGGGTGCTATGCCGTTTGTGTTTAAGTCAGGCCGTTCTCACGGGACTGGCCTCTGATCCACCAAGGGAGGGGGGCAGCCATGTGCAAGCCGGAACCCACAGTCGAGTGGAAAGGCGATCGGTGCTCGAGGGCTAGCGGCGGGATTGACGGTCTTGGAAGATCTTGACTGGACGACGGGGGCCATGGGAAGAAGGTATCTGCGGAGGGAGGCGAGGGCTTGAGAGGCTCTGAGTGGTCAGACTGGGAAGAAGCCATCCGGAGAGACTAAAGGCAAACGAACCGGGGTGCGGGGCGAGAAGGCACATGAGTGAGGGTCGATGCCGGCCGCGTTGCCGGGGTTCGTCTCGTCGAGTCTTGTTCTGGAGAAGACCCGGAGCCTGAAGGGAGGGAGGCATGGAGGCGGCGTGGTAGGAATGTCGGACCGTCGACTCTGGCGCCTTGGTTCGAGGAAGTTCCGACGAGACGAGGGGGATGTGTGTATGGGCAGCGTCTTGACTTGAACGGGCTAGAGAAAAATTGTGGCTCAAGATAGACCAGAGGACAATTGGTGGAACTTCTCTGAAGAGGAAAGTGACGGGCTAGGGCGGGGGAGGCATAGGAGGAGCAGACCGGGGGATCGGAAGAGAAGCGGCGTTTAGCGGGGCCGAGACGGGCCTAGCGCGGGTCTAGTGAGCACTGGCGAGGACTAGCGCCGCCTAAGCGAGCTTGGAGTGGAAGGAGAGGCATGTGGGGTAAGTCTGGGGATTTAGTGGCCGTGGCGTGATGGGTGGCACTGGACCCGGGGCCGCTGACGAGTTTCACTCAGGCGCTGGACGGCTGGGCCTCGATTCGGGGATCCTCAGTGGAGGGGAAGCTTAGTGGAGGGGATGTGCTAAAGGCGTTTCCTCATTCAGACCACACCTGCGCTGATGATTGTCCCCAAGTTTCTACACCTTTATGAATCTGTACTACCTCACACTGTCGCCGAATTCCATTGCTGATGCGTGGGCCTGGGTATGCATTTGCTGCTGAGATATGAGAGCTCAGCAAGGGCACTGTCATCTTTGTCTTCCTCTTTTTTTTCTCTTTTATGCTTGATTGGAAGTATATAGATCACCTTTCATGGAGGCTGCTGATACCCAAAATCTGACCCAATGTTGAGGTGTGTGTGGGCATGTAAAGCTTAAGTAAGCCAAGCCACTGCAGGTACATAGTACTCCCCCAGGCCGGTCTTCACTACCAACTCCCAAATAGCAAACATCGAGCATACAAACAGCCGACTGCGACCGTTTCCCTTCCTGCCTCTTCAGCTCGTTCCCCCTGGCTTCTCGTATGTTCTCCTAACGTTTCTCTCCTTTATCCAATCTGTTGCTTGGAAAGCCGCAAAACACAAACCACAGTCATTTCCGACTTGCTCTCCTCGTTCCTCACTGCGCGTCCACCTCCTCAACGCGATTATTAGTACCACTTCAACATCTCCACGTCCTTGGCAATGCACTTCAGTGCCCTGGTGGGTTTCTTTCCGACTCAATCCAAGCCATCGGGAAGGCCCAATTCGCCCAACGTCCGGTCGCCCCAGAGAAGAAGCAATGTCGCTCTGCAAGCGCCTGCTTCGACAGGGAACATGCCATGACTTTCGGCTCCAGACCATTCTCCTGCCGGCTCTCCAAGACAACAAACGGCGAGTGCGTCTCGTGCGCCATGCAGTCGTTGTGGTGGAGTTCCGCACGAATCAACCCCCTGTCTTCTCCAACTGCAGACCTTCTTCTCGGCCAGTCTCGGCCGAGCTAGGCTGTTCTCCCGCATCGCATCTGCTCCTTGAAGCTAGCTCCCTTCCTCCCAATAAGGCACAGAGTCTGTGTCAGCCTACCCGTGCTTGACATAGGTAGGCTAAGCAGCAAACATAGCTGATGCGACTGTAGACAGTGTACAAAAGCCCCCCCCCAAGCACTCCGCAGACCGAAACATGTTAAAGGAGCTGCAAAAGAAGCAAAGAAACAGCAACGGAAGCAATCACAAAGTAGTCATCAACAAACTCTAGCCAGCTTGAGACACTTGACGCATAACACAGCAGACGGTTCCCATCAACCTAGAGGATGCAAAGGGATCGTACTACATACAGTAGGCTGAATCCGTTAGTAGGTCTCTTATTGGGACTTGCTGGTCTATCAGCCCTTGCCAGGTGGTAGGTAGCGATCCAGAAGGCCTATAGAAAAGTAGGGGGTCAACATGTTAAATTGATGAGTATGCTGAAGGAGTGACTTTGGATGTGACCGTCTATCTATATAGTGAATGGATGATCCCCCTTATCCAGACTTATGTCCTTGTCATGCTGGCTGATGCCCGCATGACAGTACCGTCCTGTACCACAATACGCGATATGTAGTAGGTGACAATTGCAGTAACGAATGTCTGAAGTCCCCACAGTAGGCTTCTTCTACCCGGGCTAGCCACCCAGCACTTAGCTGTGTTGCCAGCACAGGCAGTGTCCGCTTAGAGGAGCTTGTCCTTAAGCGCCTCCAACGCCTGTTCGAAGTTTACCAGCTTTCCCTCAACACCAAGCTCGCTCATAGAAATGACTCTGCCCGCGACGAGATCATGCCAGTTGGGGTACGACTCGCTCCAGCGCAACTGAGACGCGAACTCGGCACCAAAGTCACCCCAAAACTTCCTCATGTCCTTATCCGAAATCTCAAGGTACGCTGCGGGCTTGCCCGTGAGCTTCTCGAACTCGGCAATCAGATCAGTCATTGGCCTGTAATCAGTGATACAGATGGCGACCTTGCCGTAGGCTTTGGCCCCGGTGTTCAGAATGCCCCTGACGACAATGCCGCAGTTGGTTTGCAGATCGCCTGCAATGGGCAGCAGGGCTGATGGCGAAGACGGTATGGCCAGGGCATAGCCTTGAGACCCAGGCTACGAGGTTCTGCTAGCACCAAAAAGCGATATAGTAAGGTGGAGAAGGAACTTACGACCGGCATGAACTTCATGAAGGGCGAATAAGCTAGGTTTGACGTATACCACCCTGGCCAGAACTCGGTCGTCTTGGACCACAAATCAGGGGTGTTCTGAGCAATCCAGTCGATAGCCTTCTGCTTGTAATCGAAGTGAAGAACCTTCAACTTCCCGCTGGAAACCTTGCCGGCCGGAGGCAAAGCACTAAGAACAAAGTGCTTCAGAGTGGGAGTCTTTGAGGCGGCATTGGCAATGTTCTTCAGCTGTTCGACTTCTTCCGCTCCAGCACCGTCGCGGCCAAGGGTGGCGACGGAGTCCCAGTAAATCGTGACAGCGAAAATGGCTATTACGCCTTCAAATGCCTTGACAAGGCTGCTCTCATCGTTGACATCAGCAGAAACAACATCGACTCTCTTGATTAGTTGTTAGATACAGAGTTCTGCACTGAACTAGGTGATATCGAATACCTTCTGAGCGAGCTGCTTGGCCTTTTCGCTGTGGACACTGCGAGTGATGCCACGAACTTTCCACTTGGGATCCTGCAGGAGTTCGTTCACGACGGAACCTCCCTGGGCACCAGTAGCTCCGAGCACAGCGACGATGGACATGTTGCAAACAAGGATAGTTGCCGGCGACGAATAAATGTCAAAGATTATGGTGAATTGAATTTAGCAAGATAGTTGTTCACACAGAACTCTTTACTGATATCTAACCACATACATTCTGAACATCAAAACTAGCTGTTTATATGTAAAAGCACGTCCGACGCTTCTCTATGCAGTGTATGATTATTCAAGGCACGACGCAAATTGTAGTAGCCCGCGCGTTTGTTAGTCATTTCATACAGGAATTGAGTCTTGAAATCTAACAAACTGGCACGAACGCCCATAACGGATTCTTGACTAGTTGAGTGTTTACACTAGAAGCAAGATGATGAATGCTACGCGCGCGGCCTAGTCTACGACACTCCAGGGCCATGTCAGAACGAGGGTCAAAATAAGGGAGGGGCCCGGCGGTAGCTTACGTACTACGCTTACAAACATCCAAGGGATAATTACTCTATCAAGTGTTACGTACTGGACTGCGCTTATGTACATGGTGAGATGAACACCTTCTCCCGACTAAGCAAGAAATTTAGAGCCAATAGGAATTTTGAGAACGTCGGAAGAATAGGGACATGCACTGCACTGCCGTCCGATGGCACTTGATAGGCTACCTGAAGTTTGTAAGCCAGGCCTCTCCAGAAAGGTCGCTTTAAGTGGAATATTATCTAATTATAGAATTGGCGTGAAGACCGCGCGCGATCGTACCTCGGCATCGAATTAGAGTCCAGGTGCGCGCGCCTACTCCAGGCGGTAGGTACCACGCGATCACCCTAGCTGCTACGCCCAGAAGCGACCTGACTGCAGTGGCGAACGAATGGCCAGAAGACGGCGCCAGCGCCACTGTAGATAGATTCAGAGGCAATGAGGGTGAGTGCTACTACTGTAATGGGGCAATTGAGGTCAGGGCGCCCCTCGTTGAGGAACGTTGATTGTCACAACAAAAACCAGAATCTATAGGTTTACGTAAACTTGAGCCCAGCGCTCTCATTAGTTGACCAAAAAGGGTATTCCCCCAGTACTCCCGCATCGCGTCTGCGCCCTGAAGCTTGCTCTCGTAAGGCACTGAGTCCGTGTAAGCCGAACCATGATTGCCATGGATGGGCTGAGCACCTCATCTTCTAGATACTGCAAACGTCACTGCTATGTTTCTTAACTATCGGGTCCTACATAATGTTAATCTAGGACCTAGGTATCTCCAGCATTTCTTGCCTCTATACGCTCTTTACTTCTAGACTATAGGCCTAGGTCCTTGGACGTTGTGTTTAACTTTTACCTCAACGCTAGCACAACGCTTGTATGCTATAGTTGAATTTAGTACCGTTAATATCTAACTGTCTGTCGTTAATTCTATTGAAAAAGGCTCTATTCACTAGCTAGTTACAATCTAGTACTTAAATTGTTACGTTGCATCTTTCGCTGTTTATCATCGGCTCACAGGGCATTCTCACTCAGCCGCAATTTTCATGACTGAGAGCTGATGGTTGTGCAACTGTTGGTTCAAGTTAATAAACCTTTGATATCCAAGTCGTTCGATTAGTTGATGACACTATTTTCAGTATACCATTGTATGGGTGTTGTGAGCGGCCAACATGTGAGTAGCAATCATGAATAGGATGAGAATACTTGCATGATGCACCACTATGCTTGTCCACCACCGCAGAGCCTTGGCATGACTTGGTTCGTGCGATCTTTTGTCTCCTCACAACATCGGAAACCACGCAAGTATCAAATTGGTGCGGTGTGCTCTGATACTCTTGTCAACTTTGTTGTATATTAATTGGAACTTGGATTATCTGAACCTCAAATTGCTGGTCAGTTTACAAAAGCCCCAAGTTCGCGCACTCCGCCTCGATAGCGGACAAAGTCCGTCGGCCGGCAGTGACGTTGTTGTTTTCGCCATAGCTGCGAACCATACGGCTTTCAGCCGTGTAAGCCGGCCACCCGATAGCGTCCAATCCCATAGTCGAGTCCTTGACGAAGGCGGCGTATGCGTCCATCATGACGTGACTCAGTTCGTACTCGAACGCAGTCGAGTTGCCTCGGAAATCCGCATGGGTCCCAAAGATCATGGGAAGCTCACTGCCGTGGTAGGCACCCATCCATGGGCGGGGAGAGGTGTTGTTGAAGACGGCGGAATAGTAGTAACGGTAAGTGGTTCTGCCTGCAGCTAGGCGCTCACTGAGGGTCGTTAGCCACGGGCCAGTCAACGTGCCGGGAGCACTTACTTGGTAGTCTTTGTAGCAGGGCACCAGAAGTAGGTGTAGGACAGGCTATCAGCAACGGCGGGATCGGGGCCGTTCTCGGCATCATAAGGGGCGAGGAAGAGACCCTCGGCGGCGTTGAAGCCAACAATGGCAGGCTTGCTGTGGTCAGCAACGTAATTCGTTGATGGGAAGGTCCTATCTCGGAAGTAACTCACCAGGTCAGCCATCTCTCCAAGGGCAGCCTTCTCCGTGTAGTTGGCAAAGACAATCTTGTTGTCAATTTGAGGAGAGAAGCCGATTGTGGGCGTAACCTCGGAGTCCTTATAGGTGGCCACAAAGTGTTCAAGGTCCTCAGCAGGAATCTTGCGCATGCACGCCAACTCGGCCTTGGCGTCCGTCAGGTTTCCACAACCCAGCTGCTGGGCAACGAAAGTGAAGTTGGAGTGGCTGGCGTCGTGGTTCATCAGCTGGTCCAGGTGCGCCGTGCCGGAGTCCATGATGAGGCCCCTGACGATGGGGTCCTCGGTGTAGGCGAAGCTGTAGTAGTCGACGGCGATGCTGCCGGCTGAGTGACCCCAGAGGGTCATGCGCTCCGGGTCACCGCCGAACTTGGCAATGTTGTCGCGGATCCACTCGACGGCGAAGCGCTGGTCCATCAGACCAAGGTTCTGCTCCTCCAAGGCAGCGGAGTTGGGGAAGCCGAAGAGCTTCATGCGGTAGTTGAAGGTTACGAAGATGTGCGACTGCGAGCGCTGAATCCATTTCTGGGGCATCTGGTAGGGCACATCGGTTCCACCCGTCTCAAAACCACCGCCGTAGAACCAGATGATGACCGGAAGACCTTCTCCCTCGGTCTGCTCGCCGACGGGAACAGCGTCGGAAGGGACCCAGACGCTGGCAGTGAGACAGTCCTCGTTCATGCCGGCGTCACCGATCATGAACTCGGGGACGTCAACGCGCTGGATAGCCGGGTGAATGGAGATATACTGCCAGCACGAAGGGGGAGGGCAGTTGCATTGAGCACGGTACCGTTGGCGAAAGGGTTGCTCGATTGCGGAACGACGTAGGGCTGAGGCGGCTCCCAGCGCAGGTCGTCGAGGGGCGGCGCGGCGTACGGGATGCCCAGGAACTCGGCGACTTGGGGAGCATCCGAGGCAATCCGACCTTGAACCGTGAGGCCGTTGACAAGCCGCACACTGGGGCCGGCGCTCGCCGAGGCGAGGAGGCTAGCAAAAGTAATCACGGACTTGGCGTTGCACATCATGACGGGCGACTCTTGATGGACACTAGAGTTGACGGAAGGGTAGCTTGGCAAGCCCGTTCCAACCGGCGACACACCCGGAAGTTTATATCACGGATAGCCTTCGGAACTCGGGGGGCAATTGAGCGTCTTTTTTTTTGCATCGAGTCATCTCCTGAATGGCGACTCCCCATAGATGGGATCGGTGCTCCACCAATATCACGACTCTGCTGTGCCTAAACGGGAAACAAATGGTTGCACGGTTCGCCTCATCGGAGATTACTGGAGAGAACCCCACACTCTTCAACGCTGACATCGGTAGTTCTCCGTATCATAGCTTTGTGTCATTGGCGAGCGGGAACAGACAAACATCCTCCGTATGGGGTATACGAGTCAAGCCCCTGGCGGAATCCTCCACAGGGACCTGTCGATCAGGAGTCGGACGAAGCCAGAAACCTCTCAACTCCTAAGATCCGGGGACAAAGATTGGATTCACCTTCCAGGTATCCCGCAAATCGCCGGGGATAGGTCAACGGAACGCGGATGACCTTCGCCAGACTCAAGACCCCACTAGCACTCTGATTGCTCACTCCATTGCCGCGATTCAGGTTTCGTCGCAATAGGATTTACTGTAGCATCTGTAAATCCACAATTGACATCGTTATAGTAAGACAATGCCTGCTTCACAGGTTCAATGAGGTAAATGTGCTGGAAGCGAACCTGCAGAGACGCAAGTTGCTTAGGCTGATGCAAGTTTTGAATACTTTTCAGTCACTACCAGAACCAACTCTTGCATCGTGACATGTTTCCTACAAACATCTTCCAACACGTTAACCTGAAACTAACTCTTCGATTGGAACTGGACCAAGATTTATGTCGTGGTTGTTTGTTCGTCTTGCAAATGGGTGCAGGCGTCGGTGACATGCAAATCAAACTGCACCTATGAAACTATAGAGACATGAATGTCATGCCTCAATAGTTAGTGATGCGTTGCTAGTGCGGGATTCTTTACTGCATCAAGAACTATGTCTATGACCTAGATATGCACTTTGTATGGCTCTGGTTCTGGTCTGGCAAACTCGCAGGTTTAGGCCCCCTTAGTAGAACATGAATTAGGCGTATGCTTGTGCGATCCTAAGTAGACCGATTTGACTGGTTGTGCTTATGAAGTTGACTACCGCCAAGTTTCTCAATCACTGGTTAGGGATTTGTCAACACAATCTGAGTGTGTTGGATTATTGTGAACTCAATAATCAAGATAGCCTTTTCTCTCGTCAGTGAAATCGCGCCACTCGGTGGGAAAGCCTTCAAATAGGCAGCTAAACTCCGATTTCTGTTCATCTTTGTGCTTCGATTCATCGTTTGGATTTGTCTACTGGACAATATTCAAGGTAACAAGCCTCGTAACAAGCCTCGAAGGCATGCTTAGGTTAACGCAGTACCCAAACTTGGCTTACACAAGTGAATGAGACTTTGTGGGCATTGACGATTGGTTACCACAAGTAACTCCTAGAAATAATCCTAGCGTCGGTGGTTCAGTAGCAGTTCTCACAAAGAACAAATAGCCTTGTGATACCGTGTAATTAAAGCCAATCTTGTTTCTATTTTCCGCCCATGTCGATGTCGTTTCAATATCATTATTCGGCGACCATTGAGGACCCTCATCCAGTTGAAGCAAGCTAAACTGCCAAAGTAGCCGTTCACGCATATTTGCTCGTACTTGTAGAAGCAGTCATCGCGGTGATCGCCGCGTTAAGTTGCCGCAAATAAATGAGGTGTGAAACTTCGCAATTTAACCTAGCCAACCACGGATCGGACAAGGAGTCGCCATGTCATTCCCAAGTCATAAAAATGTCTGAACTATGTATTTGATAACTGCAAGGAACACTGTTTTATTTAGTTCCAGCATACCCTCTTTATCGGTGCCCCTAATGACGTTCTCTTCACTACTGCTTGTACATAGCTTGGCCAATTCACCCGTGGACGCACGACAAAAGATGACAGATTAGGTCTACTTGCACTTCTCCAAAGAAACGAGCAGCCATAGATCTCTTTTAAATATGCCTTCGAACACTTTCCAAGTACTCATAGAGAAGCTCCGCTCGAGACCCGCGTAAGCAAGATCCATCAGTGGGGACGCCATCTGAGTCAACCTGGTTAGTCGCTTTCAAGTTAACAAGTTTGCCGGGTTAAGGGTTCAAATATATAGGGATCGTTTGGGAATTCTTGTCTGGCCTGGGCCCGATGCATACTGTCATGCGGAACTTGCGCTCAAGGGCATATCGCTAATAATCATCCGTTCATTCTTACAGCAGTGAAGTTGAGTTGAGTTTGGCTGATTGTCCAAAAATGTAAATGGCAGAGAATCGGGATGTATACGAGAATATTTAGCTTCCAAATCCTCTAGGTTTGGTGCAAGCTTTAGTTCGCTCGACTAATCCGGCTCTGCTGAGGCAAAGTCGATCAAAATAGAAATATTGACCTGGAGGGCCTTGATATTCGGCTTTCCGAGAAATCCTGATTTCTATGTAAATTACTTTGACAGGCCTGTCATACGACAGTTAACCGCCGTTGAGCCTACGCGACAGCTTTCGAATCTTGCTTAGGCCAGGCTGTTGGGTCAATTGCAGGATCAATCTGTTCGGGGCCTTCATAAAGACACCCGTCTTCATTCCAAGATTGACTGCTACCACCGGCTTCCAGGTAACGGACCAATATGACAGACACACTTACCCAATTCTTGGCCGATTGTAAAGAAAGAATGAAAAAAGTAATGCCATTGGAGGCCTGAGAACAAGGACGGGTTGGTTCGGAAGCGCTAGGAACGCTAGTAATCCTTCCACCATGAGCCAGGATTATTTCAGAATCACCGATGACGTTTCTCGGAGGTATGAAGAGAACATACTTCTATAACACAGATATCTGCGTCCACTAGGCGCTGTGTGTCGTACCGGACACACTTCAGCGTCGGGTCTCCCTGGTTGGATACCTTGCTGGGATCAGCTAATTTGAATTCCAAATCCACTGGCACATCACCAATATCTAACCGAAGAGAATGTTGAAGTATTGGGCGTTATTTCTGCTAATGTCTCCCGATTAGAACTCATCGTATATGGAGCAGTAGTTCGTATTGTCGTTGAGTGCTCTCAGTGGGAAGTCGGCATCAAACCCCAATCCCTCAAAGTCAGGGATACAAGCTGTCTTGTTGCTTGCAGGGTCATTGTATGGGGAACGAGGAGATGTCTGGTAACTTGTTATCTAATCATGCCTCGGCAACCTGTAACTGAGAGAAAGTTTTGTAAGGTACTCGAAAAGCTTAAGGTACCCTCAACTGTCGCAAAGCTACAAGCATCGTCTTGGTATAGAGTGACGAAATTGAGGTCTAGCCGCATTGGCAATGGGCTGTGTGTACAGCCACTGAAAAGTGTAAGATCATTCTGGTCAGCTTAAAGAGCATCATAAACCGATGATGTAGTTCTTCAAGTGCCTGTTTGAGCACACCCCAGTGTTTATCGAAGTTGAGACAGGTTTTTTCTTCGCCGCGAGTGGCTTTTTCCAGGACGGATTTATCTGCAGCCGAGTACGAAAGCTGGGGGAAACCCAGAGCGGCGAAACACAGCGGTTGACGACACTTCTGCGTAGTTATGGCCCCGATTTCTAGGAGCGAAAACAGGGTATTTGTTTTCGGTCGGGCCAGCCCCGAGGCTGGGTCACAGTTCTGGATTCAGGGGCTATGCTCTGCCATTTAAGCTGCCCAAACCTGTTTTTACCACAACTGACAATGACTTAGCTCATCGTACCAGTTCCTACTCTATTGGATACTACGACAAAAATCATTTACTCACAGTAATCTTCGTCAAGAAGAAGTTGATCCTGGTCGGCTATTGGCCGACCATTGAACAGATGGCACTGATGCCAAGTCTATCTGCCTTCTCTAGTTTGGTGAGAGTTGGCGCAGCGAGCGCCGCAAAACGATGGACAGTAACTTGATAACTAACAAAGAAAGCTGCGTTTGCAAAGCCCCTCTCTTGACCAAGATTCTGGCAATAGAGAGACGGCATCTGCGTTGTCTAGGTGCAGCGTAGGCGTTTCCGGTCCTCACTCGGTGCAATAGAGGTCCCAAACGGCCATCTGCGTACTGCAAATATTCTCTCACACCACAATGACGTAGAATACACTGCAGTCGAAACTACCTACCATCACAGCCGCCGCAAGCCCCCAGCGGAAGCCTGATCAGACGGCCGCTTGTGCTCGGCAGAAAAGGGGGGCAAGGAAGAACCTAGCGGCAGACTAGCGACCAACAGAAGAGAGAAACAAGAAAAACCTGATGAGTGAAACAGGCAACTCACATCATCAGCTAACGCTTTTTTCAACATGCTTGTTGCCCATCCCAATTTGCGTTAGGCGTGTCCTTGTCCGTCTGCTCGCGCAAGTGGCTCATTTGATTCGAACTGCTAGCTTCCTTGGGTGCATCTTGATGCCTGTCCCCCGCGTTATCCTCGACATTGCTAGAGGTTGGCACAGGCGCCGACGGGTGAGAAATGTTCCTGCGGAGCGGGTGCTCTGTGCCTGTCTGGACCGATCCCATGCTGGATGACTTGTGCGCATCTTGCATTGCGTAATCGCCAGAGTCGAAATACTTCCTCTAAGAAATGTCAACTGATTAGCGGAACTGGCTCCGTTAGCCCGTGGAAGAAGGAAACAGGGGTCGAAATACCTGCAGCTGGTTGTGCAGAAGATCCGATCTAGCCGGGGCCCTTCCGTACAAGCGTCGGAGACGGTCCTCCTTCTGGATGGCAGCCTTCACGCGAAGGATGCATGTTAGCTTTACTCGACTCAACACCGACCATGTTGCCGGCGATGACAACGAACTTACTGTAGGGTCCGGTCGGTTCTGTTGAGAACCCATGTTGAAATGTTAAGTGTGCAATTGGAAGCAAGGTGCTGCGATGTGAAACCAGCTGACAGACTACGATGACTGAGTTATATAGAGATTTGGTGACGTTCCGATGACGATGACAGTGTGTCCATCATTAACTGGCGCTACAGGCCTCGGCGATCAAATGCTAGAGATACCCACTTGTTGCTTGGGTTTCCAGGCATTGGTTGACGTGACGTGGTCGGCGGTGGCTCCGTGAGTGCTGAGGGATGACCCATTTTCATGTGAGTCGTGACCATCAACTTTGTGGCTTCGCTGAAGACTGGACACAACAGGCCGGGGAAGAGGGGTCCAGATTCACGCGATTAGGGACCGGCCATTGGCAGACTGGACGAACCCAGCCACAATTAAGGTAATTGCGGCGATCATTCCAACGGCCCAAGGGGCTTGCACCTAGACCCTGACAACAATTGCCGACACTTGACAGGGCCAACCACGGATGTTACCTGACGCAAAAAGAGAGACGAGAGCGCAGGAACGACGCGAAACCTGGGAGGGGATGGCCGCCCATGGCTGAGTTATGCTGACCTGAGGGTCCCCGCGTGACACTAGTCAGGGAACATGCATGGGGCCACAGCGCGCTACTCGCGCCCCTCCTGCGCTGGATCAGGTTTTTTGCTGATGTTCCTGGCAAGTGAAAGTTGGTCAAGGTTTCAACTCGGGAGTGGAGTGATCATTGCATGTCCTGGAACCCGGAGGACGAGGGTTGGGGGAAAAAAAGGGGATCTGCATTATAAATACCTAGGAGGGCCAATCCATTTGTGTCCGAGTCGTACTTTTGAATACCGCATTCTCGCCATTAACCATCATGATGTCTACGCAAATCCCCAGACCGTCTTCAAATACCACCAATTCGTCAAACTCGACCAACTCGAACCAGCCATTCACCGGCAACATGGATGCTTACACGCTCTCCATGTACGAGCACACGAAGCGCCTTATGGCAGCTGCCCAGATCCCCTACGGTAGCCCCGCCAGCCTCCTCCTCGCAACCTCTCCGAACGACCCGGTCACGACCGGAACGGGCTCCGGCAGTGTGGAGAATGACCTCCTACCACCCAAATCTGACGGGCTTCCTCGTCTGGAATCAAGCTGACTTCCAACCGGGAAGATTCAGAAGCAGAATGGTGCTGCACTCCACGATTCTTCTCGCTTCATGCAGAGGTAGGCAATCCATCATCTCCCAGTGCATTCTGCATCGTCTCGTCTCCCAGTCAGCTAACCTCGGCTGCAGAATCCGACGACGCCTGTTCGTCGAGGGACTTTTGAGTAAGTAAGAACATCAGCCTCCATCCCGATTCCGCTTCCATAGTTACTAACTACCTCTCAGGCTTCACGGATAAGTTGCTCGTTGCTCTGTGGCCCGTCTTGGTGCCAACCAAGGTTGTCGACGAAACCGCAAACTCGCTCCGGTCCTTTCTCGAGACTCTCCTCCGAAGATCATCTGCTTCGTACAATACCCTGCTTGCGGCGTTTTACTATTTGGTCCTTTTCCAGTCGATCGCGACTCTGCCGCTCGACGCAACAAAACACACCCCCTGCCTACAAAAGTTACGATCCCTCCAGTGCCCGCGGCGTATGTTCCTCGCCGCCCTCATGCTGGGCTGGAAGTTTACTCAAGAGCAGGCTTTCTCAACCGCCACGTGGGCCACATTTTCGGGACTTTCTGTGAGAGAGCTGAACCGCAACGAGGCGGCGTTCTTGTCCATGATTGACTGGCGCCTTTACATTTCACAGGCCGTCTTTGCGCAATGGGACACAGAGGTGTCGTACCACGTCCAGACGCCCAATGTTGCGTTGTCTGGCAAAATTTTCGGGATTGGAAGCTCAATTGCTACCGCGTGAGCTAATACATAATGCTGACTTCAAGGTCGCTTATTTCACGCGCTTGATTTTGATTTGACGGAAATGCAAAGGAGTTTGGGATGCAAAACATTGAATGAATGAAGCAATCTAAGGTAAACGTAACCAGATAGGGCTTCGACCTCATCGTTTAAGATACCCCTTTTGAGTGTTCGATATTTTATATGATTAACATTACTCTTTCTCAACCTGCTCGACTATCGTGACTCGTCGTTCTGCCCCTTAAATAAATGGGGTGCGTTTCAGACTAGACCTCGTGACCCTCGGCTTGGCCGCGCTGCGTGACTCGCCATGGAAAGTCCTGACGATTCTTAATACTGCTATACCACACGTGCTATGGAAGCGGCACGGCTGCTAGCCAGAATTGCGGCAACATTTGTTCCTGGACTGAGTGCAGAGCTTTCTTAACGTCAGCGTATGCACACTCTGGAGGAAGCGCCTGCCATCTGCCTCTTACAAAGTCGCGCAAACGAGCTCAGCCCCAACTTTTGAACATCGAAGACACGAGACCGCTCAGAGCCGTAAGCGCTGGCTTTTGACTAAAAGCTACTGTCAACATGCATATTTTTGCTCGAGTGTGAGGCTGATTCACATCGTCATCGCGAATCTTTGTTACAAGAAAGCCCGAGTGCCTTGCGTCTATGAGAACAGTTGATGCTAAAACCCTCCCTTCTGCTTAGGAAAATTACCATTTATTGTGTAGAACCCCTCGACTGGATTCCGAGTTTTAGAGTTCTGTTGATCTAGCATAGGACTGTGCCATCAGACGTCATTGTCAATTATGGTTGCTTTGAGTCCGTCACCGTCTCTGCTATTCGATTCAATGTGTCGCGAATTCATGGTTGAAGCTGCGGTTCTTTCTCCAGCCTTCAATCTCACTTCTATTCTCAATCTTATTGCTGTCACGTGTTGGGATATGGAAAATCATTCTCAAGTACGTCAATTGATAGGAGATCCTTATTATAGCTATTGTGGGTGTATGTCTACGGAACCCTTTTCATGTGCTAGATCCATGTATTACAGAATTTTACGTACTTAGCTGGCGAGTCCCGTCCTAGATATGTATTGTCCATTTGCCCAAACTACTCTGCTTTCATCTGGGTTGGGCTGCCGCATTGCCCACTTCGGCATATTATATGTGATTACCTTAACCAACGGATTTCAGGTCGTCAAATGGAGGTCCTAGCTAGGCGTTGATCCAGCTGGTTCTAGCACACCTATAAAAGGGGTTTTACGGTTGGGATACAACTAATCGCCTGTACGTAGAAACCCACAGGCGCTGCTAGACGCTTAACCAATGCGTCACGCAGGTATGATAAGTAAATAAGCTAGTAGTTAAAGCTGCTGAATGGGTACCTTTGCTTGCTAATTAAGGTGCAACTAAGAGGCGTCCTCACAGTATCCTCACAAAGTGCCCTTCCTGCCGAAGAATTGAACCTACCGGAGATGCCTGCAGCAGATAGCCGCCAAAAAGGTACAAAAGGCGGCTTCCTCACCAAGACTCTGCCAGATCGACCTCCTCAACCATCCAACCATCTGCCTCAAAGATGATCACAAGATCGAAGCGCCAAAGTATCATCACAAGCTCGAAACCAACAAAAATATCAACAAGCCGCAATGAAGTGCATCCGATGGCTGTTGGCATACTGGGGCCGCCTTTCCAAGCAAAATAGCAAGGCGCCAGAAGAAGCAATTTGAGGTTCCAGATATTGTTAGACTCTCACACAAATTCTTCTAGAGATTTTCAGCTACATTGAGTCATATGACGAGTTCCTTCTTTCTCAAACCTGTATTGTTACTCGGACACTTACACGAAGAGGTTGGAGGCTTACCCTCCGCCGGCTTCCTCGCATCCAGCAACTTGATCTCTGGACTGGCCTTGCTTACGTCCTGCCAAACCACTGGGTCTGTGGGCCTTGTTAAAAACTCCATACCGTTGAATATTGGGATACACCTGGGGTATATGGACAAAAATGTCATTGCCAGCAAGCAAAATGATCTCAAGTTCAACTACATCTACCAACTACGTCATTCGCATGTCCAACTGGCCTTGAAGCTCACACGAATAAGACATACCAACCAGAGTCACCTCAAGAATATCATGTCGCTATTTACGATACAAAGTCTTGGGAGATCACCTTCTAAACTGCGCTGTTACTATCACGCTTTACCGAAGGTTGTTACCGGAAGGTTTCTTCTCAAGGTAGAACATGAATTTCGGGATGGTGCCGTAGCAGTATCTCTTAAGGAACTTCCAATGACATCAACCTGCCCCAACCATGAGAATTTTGGCCTCCAAAACAAATGGGCCTCGTCCCGATAACGAGGTATCACGAGCATTAGGACTAAAAGGTTTCATGGACGACGTTCACCTTGCGTTCAGACAATAAAGACAGGAAATTTCTGGCCACTGTAGGCGTTTTCCAATGGATTATACTGTTTTGGTTACTCCTGGTATAGTTACGATCTATACTTGGCATGATCTTGGATCATATGAGTCTCCAGTAAATAAAGAGTGGACGGTACATCTTCGGTCGAATTGCAATACGCCTTCAAAAGGACCGGTTATAGATCACATACCTGGGTGTATCCGGCAAATGAATCTTGAGGGTTAACAGAAGTGGAGTCCCTGAGTCTGGAGAGAGAAGAACAAATGTGGCTGTTGTATTTATATCTTGGGAGTGTGTACATGTATTACCAAGCTCTTAGTTGTGCTCCCTAATTGTTATAGTTGCTTTTACAAGCTATCAATAATCAAAATTACAACAATGATAACGAAGACGCCCAGCGCTGTTATAAGACTTGAAGAACAAGTTTTTGGAGAACAGATTCATGATCGTGAGAAGCAATGGTGGTCATCCCCAAAGGCCCATACAAGACATTATGGTCAGACATGTGAGGGATACTGATGTAAGCTTGTTTAAGTGTGGAGCCTTGCTTATTTTCCATCAAGAAATATCAAACCGTACATGCCTAAACATACGGTTCCCTCATTTTTCTACGTTGCCTTCACACGATGTCGCCGTCAAACGGCTACCAATCCATCCTGACCCATTTCACTTGAAATCCTAGGCGAGCTGTGTGATAGAATGCCAAGCATCCCTAACATTTTCGACTTCGATACCAAAAATGGTGTCAAGTGAAGGTCATTGAACGAACTCTGCGGAAGGTAATCTGGAATCCCAAATGGCGGAGGAAAGCGGCAAAAACAAGCTGCATCTGTGCCACTCTTGCGGTCTTGATCATCATGATCGCTATGGAAGCTGCTGTTGTTCCGGGCTTGCTTTATACCCGGTCTAAGAAGAAGGGGAAGGCATGTTCCACCTGCCAATGCATAGGTAGTTGCCTAGCTCGCCCTGGCTCGGCCCGGCGCACGCCTGTGGCATGCATGGAAGTATGAAGCAAATCAAAACAGACAAACGCCAAAAAAGTAGTAAACCAACGAAATTGACGGACAGAAAAAAAGGAAACAAAGCATGGAGGAGTTCGGCCGCGCGAAACGGTGTCAGTGTTAGAGTTCATCTCGAGCTAAAAGACGGAGAGAGACAAGCCAGTTCTCATCCCGTTCCGCCACAACCGGACGGCAAGACACCATACCATTGTCGTAATAGTTGCACTGCTAAATCCAACTCTCCGCCCTTTTCCTACATAGAACAAACCTGCCTACTTGCCTGTCCCCCTTGTTGACGTTGGGCAGCCGCAGCAAGTGGTGTACTAAGCACTACCTAAGGTAGCAGCAACAAGTCACCCAGACCAAGGCAGTGTCGCTGCTTGCATCTGCCCCTCAGTCGTCTCGGTGGCGTTCCACTACATTGTGGTGCCTCTAGGTAGTGTACTATGTACAGTACATGTGCGAACTCTGGACACCATCGAAGACATGCAGAAATGTTGGCGCTAGGTGAGCCAGGCTTTACCTTATCCGGCTAAGCGAGAGATTCGATAGCGCAAAACACTCCCCCCATTGGTCAGCTCAGGAATGAGCTCAGCAGCTCGGTACCTGAAGTACCTTGTACCTGCGGTTCGGGAGATTGGAAGCACTCGTCATCCTTGCCTGATCCCTACCCTCCACCGTCTGTTCTTTGCAGACTCGTACCCGCATGTCCTGGCCGCCAGGGTCGCAGAGGATCCATCCAATATCCCCTCCCCAAATGGTCTCTGCCTCGACCGAGATGGAGACTGGAGACTCTCGGGAAAGGACATTTTGGTAAGTTTGCCATTATTTGCTGCTTGCTCCCTTTGCCCTCCGTTGCGAATGCGGTCGACGCTTACAGACGCTCGACTCCTCCCAGCTTCCCTCGGTCTCGGAGCTATCGTTTGACGTCCGCCATTGCCTCGCTCAGCTCTCGACTGCTCCCTGTTTGCGACACGAGAAAACGCTACCTCGCACCAATCATCCTAACCTAGAGTTTGCTTTCGCTAGCTCCCGACCCGCGCTGGGAGCAAACGGATGCTTCCCGCGCCTCGCCACACCGACGCTAAGACGTGGCTGACAATCCGTGCGCGTCGTCGATAATTCCTACAAAACATTCCTCCCGGCTCCCCTTACTGCTCGCTACTGAGCTCTCATAACACGAACTCCCGATTCTTCGAATGCTACCAGAGCTGTAGGACTCCATCACAGTTGTCGCAATGGACGAGAAGCAGGCCCCCGGGAGGTCTAGTGGCATCCCTCGCCTGTCACGGCTGCCTCTTCCCAAGCCAGCGCCTACTCCCGCTGTCCGACCTTCTCCTTCGCGAGAGGGCCTAAACTCGGGTCTGAGGAATCCTCGACTTCGACCAGCTGCCTCGCGGGATCAACTAGGCCCCGCCGTAGCCCCCAAGCAGCCCGAACCCCGGCCAGCTCCGAAACCGAGGCGCGAGATCCAGCCGCCCTCTTCAAGAAAGACGGAATTGCGAGCCCCCCCGACCACCCTCAGGAGCTCCCGCAGCGTGCCTCGACTGAAGACGAAAGAACCGATTTACAACAAGCCCCCAACTCCTCCGGAGGACATTGAGCAGCCCGTCATTTCACGCTCCGCCAGTCTTTCGCGTCGACGTTCTCAGCCTCACGCCGCCACTCCCGAGTTCGACCCAGTGCCAGACCTGCCCCCTCTGCCCCGCGACGCAAGTCCGCCGGTTGCTGTTGACGATGCTGAATCTGAGCTTCCAACCTTTGACACGCCGAGGGCGAGATCTTTCAAGCCTCGACCCTCCCTCTCCGAGCGTACGATCGAGACCCTGCAGCAACTACAGTCGTCGCCTTCCCTAAGTAAGAAGACGTCGACCTTTTTCGACCCCGATGGCACCATGCGACCTCGTTCACGCGCCGGCAGCGGCCACTCGAGACCTGGCTCAAGCTACACCTCCGACGGCTCCATACCACCAACCTCGCGTCACAGCAGGCCAAACTCATCTTCCGGCGCTGAAGAGAACCCCTTTGCGAATGCCCAACAAGCTGCAAATGCCTACCGCTCCCCGTTGGGCTCTGTCGAAGGCACTCCCGCTCGTCGTGTGTCTAGCATCCGCTCTCTCAGGGCACCGACCGTGAGAGTCACACCCCAAGCATCACCGTCTGGTCCCTCGTCTGCCGCGGGTATCCCGGTCAACCAGAGTCCCAGTCCGACAAGGACAACTGGCATGCTGCCACCGTCCAAGGTCGGCGCAAAGACGCTCGCTGCTCGTCCTCTCAAGCCTCGTGCCTCGGTCAGTGGTCTGTACAAGAAGCCGTCTCTGCCATCGATGAGCCAACCTCCTTCAGCCGCAGCTGCTTCACCACCTCCCAAGCTGACGCCGGCCAAGTCGTACGGATCCCTGAGAAAGCCCACACCTTCAAAGATAGGCAGCCCAGCTCCAGCGGCCTCGGCTGGTACAGACGAAGAATCGGCTGCCAGGAAATCCTCTAATGCTCTACGGGAACAAATCGCCAAGGCCAGGGCAGCCAAGCGCGCCGCAGACCGTCAAGCTGCGGAAACAGTATCAGCACCGAACCCAGAGCCAATCGCAGAGGCATCTTCGAGCCAGATTGAGCCTCCCATCGTCCCAGCGGACGACGGTTTCAACTTTGGCATTGCTGTTACGACGAACGACCCTTTCAACGCCAATGACCCGTTCAACACCAATGACCCGTTCAACACCAATGACCCGTTCAACACCAAGCGATCAGACACTTCGCAAAAGAAGGTCATCCAGCAGCGTCTCGCCGCCGGCCGAAGCAGTGGCCGGCTCAACATTGCAGCACTGGGCCTGAAGGAAATCCCAGTCGAAGTCCTGAAGATGTATGACATGGAATCCATGGGTACTTATGATGGCTCGTGGGCGGAGACAGTCGACCTGACAAGACTTGTGGCTGCTGATAATGAGTTGGAGACCATCGAAGACACCATTTTCCCCGACATCACAGCAGAGGAGATGGCCCAGGACGAGGACTCGAATGGCAACATCTTTGGCGGCCTTGAGGCGATGGATTTGCATGGCAACTCCTTGATCTCGTTGCCAATGGGACTGAGACAGCTTCCCCTGCTTACGTCTCTGAACTTGGTAAGCCTGTGCCCGTGTCTTCCTTGCGTATCTTGTCTAACTAACCATTACAGTCTCAAAACCGCCTCGCCAACAACTGCCTCGCAGTCATCACTCAGGTCAAAGCCCTCCGTGACCTGAAGCTCGCCAACAACCTTCTCTACGGCCCTCTGGATCCCATCTTCGCGAACCTGGAGAATTTGGAAATTTTTGACCTACATGGCAACAACGTGTCTTCGCTTCCTCCGGGCATCGAGAACCTGTCGAGGCTACGTGTTCTCAACCTGAGCGACAATAGCTTCGAGTCTCTGCCTTTCACAAGCCTCTCCAAGCTTCCGCTGACGGAGTTGCTGATGAAGAAGAACAAGCTGACGGGCACCTTGATTGAAGATGGAGTGGAGGCTTTGTCGAACCTTCAGATGCTGGATCTCTCCTGCAATCAGTTGACTCGCTTGGTACCTTCAGGGTCCACAATTAGCCTTCCTTCGGTTCATCAGCTTGTTCTATCCATGAACCGCCTGCAAGAGCTGCCCGATGTTAGCTCTTGGTGTAGCCTCATGACATTGACCGCGGACGAGAACGCCATTCCCGAATTCCCGAGTGGCTTCACCAGCCTCATGAAGCTGAGACACGTCGACTTCTCTGCTAATGACATTCGTGTCGTCCCACCAGAAATCAGCAGGATGGACAACTTGACCCTCATCCGGCTAGCAGGCAATCCTTTACGTGACAAGAAATTCGTCTCCGCCACTACCGAAGAGCTAAAGGAAGTGCTGGCCGGTAGACTAGAGGCGCTTCAATCGTTTGAGGAAGCCGACACTGTTAGCCTCGACGCCACCCCGAGCAACACGCTTGCGGAACCCCATGAAATCCACCCAGCCACCCAACTTGCCCCGGCCGAGGCTTCGGCCCGTGGTTATGTCTCGGACTCGGATGACTTTGCCACACCGCCCACCTCATCGCCTACTTCACCCGCACGAGCGCGCTCGCAGACTCTGGCCAACGAAACCTGGCCCGTCAAGCAGGGCATCCTCGACCGTTCGAACACCAAGTCGTCGTCCTTGCACCCAGTGGTTTGTTCCAGAGTAGCTGCCGACAACAAGGTTACTGAGATCCAGTTGCACCACAACCTGTTTACCTGTTTCCCGAACTCTCTGTCTTTCTTCGCCGAGTCTCTGGCAGCTCTATCGCTCGCCCACAACCAACTGGTTGGTGAAACCTACTTGACAGAGGAACTTGATCTTCCGGCGCTGCGCGAGCTGAACCTCGTCAGCAACCACATCACTAGCCTTTCGCCCTTGACTACACACTTGCATGCCCCGCAGCTGGAGAAGATGGACGTCTCTCTCAACCGCATCACGGCCTTGCCGCCCAACTTGCGCATCGTCTTCCCCCGACTTGTGGTTTTGCTAGCCGCAAACAACCATTTGATCGAACTTGACCCAGACACCATCAAGGGCATGGAGGTTGTCGACGCCGGCAACAACGACATCGCGCACTTGAACCCCAAGCTTGGTCTCCTCGGCGGTAGTGGAGGACTGAAGCGTCTCGAGGTCTCTGGCAACCGCTTTAGAGTCCCACGGTATAATGTACTTGAGCGTGGTACCGACGCAACTTTGCGCTGGCTCAGAGGACGAGTCCCCGTCGCGGAGATGGCTTCATGGAAAGAGGGCCAGGGTGACTCGGGCAATGCTTCCGACACCAGCCTGGCGGATGTTGACTGAGTAGTGTTTTTAATGGCGAGAAAAAGATGGAAAAAGGCTTGTTCGGTTTCTTCAGGTTTGCGAATTTCTGTTTTGGAGGGGCGCGTTACACTCTTCGATTCTCGCACATATTTTTTACGCTTGTGAGCGGTGGTGCAACAAGATACCACGCTGTGCTTTCAGCTATGGAGTTGAGGGGGAATTTTTGCGACTATCAATATCGCTCCATATCCTGTACTAGTACTGTATAATAATGTTTCCTAATATTGGACGAGCGTCCGCTTCTTCAAGATTCTCGTCTCCCATGGTCCTCAAAACCGCTTCCTCGTTCTGTCAACTGGTTGGGCGTACAGACTTTACGCCATCGTGGCACGGACAAGACACAAAAGCCATCTCCGAGGTCTTGGCCGAAGCAATTTAAACAGCCAAGCCCTCCTTCTTGGGCTGGCGATTGACACTCGACGTCAAACAAAGAACATTTTCTCAATAGTTGACGCATCGGGCCCCTTTTCAAAGCAAATTCTACTGAAACAAATGGCTTCTGCAATGGCAACGTTCCGCGCTGCCTCCAGCGGCCATATATCCTACGGCTTTGCCGACTTTTGTGGCGAAGCAGGCGACGAGACTCCATGGGATTCGTCCTCTTCTATTCTTTATCTTGGTCGGTAGGAGACAGCACGGCGGTAATGATGCCAACTTGAATTCCAAACAAAATTCTAGTATTAATATCGTCGCGCACTCAAGATGTGAGAGCTTGGGTGATTCTCGGGAAACCTGTTGAATATCACTTCCTCGCTACCAGCAGACCGAACGAGTTGGAACGGTAGAACTAGATAGTGGATGGATATAGTTCTGGATCTGATCAGGATGGGTTTTGGTACGCTACCTCTCATGGACTTTATTTGGTCTTCCAGTAGGATTACGAACCTTTCCAGGCTGACTGTTGGATTTAGATCTGTAGCAACAGCGGATCCGTCCCTATACCAAATGAACTTGGAAGAGGCGGAAACACCATCCAAACACTACTACTTCTATCTTGGCTTCTGGTCGTCCAAGGAAACGGCGTTACATCTTAGGGAACTTTAGTTCTGTCCGCGACTCGGGGAACCAACTGATTTGGACCTACTTACCGCTGACGAAAACAAGAATCAAAAAGAACGAGCAAGAAAAAGACTCTCATATTAACAGCATATCTTTCTCCCCAGACATCGAAAACAGAATGGTCTCCACTATTGGCTCTCACGGCACCGTCAACATATCCCTCAAGATCGATATCGATACCGCTGCCTTGGTTTGCGTCGGCACCAGCTACGCCGTCTTCGGCGCCATCACCTACGCCCTCATCAACAAATGTCGCCTCTTCGCCCTACCCAAGTGGTACAGCACCTCTGACCGCGGACTTCAGGAGAAGATTCTGGTGACCTTGTGGTTCCCCGCCATCTTTGCACTATGGCCTCTTGTCCTCCCGCCTTGGATAGCTGCCAGATGCGGCTTCAGATGTTCCGAGAAGCTGGTGGAGATTACGAAGAAGGCCAAGGCCAAGGGGGAAAAGCTTTGTGATGACAGACGACCGGCGGGTGAACAGAGAGGTGGGTCGAGGTTCCTCTCGAAGAGGAGCAGGCTTCTGGGTTGAAGCACCCTACATCTCGTGGACTGTTCATCAACCCGTTCAAGGAAAGGGGCCGATCTCGTTTTCGCACCAGCGGCCAGGAAGCTCCCGACAGCCTCAGCCCCAAAAACCGCAGCGGCATCGGCTCAGCTGACAAGTCGAAGCAGACACCGTCTGTGTGGTGCAACAAATTACCTTCAGAAGCGGAGTTGCAGAGCGCTGCAGTTCAGATGCCTTCCGGTAGAACCGGTGGCGTGTCATCGTCTAGGGACCGCCGCAGAAGCCCTGGCTCTGACGCCAGCAACGGCAACAGCTCTGCACAGCCAACAGGCTTGCCTCAAGTTGCTGAGAGGTTCGTTGACTCTGATTCGTCCGGGAAGGCCAAGACTCTTCGGCGGTTGCAAACGATTCCCGAGAGAGGTGGAGAAGAGTTTGATGGTTGGGATAATGCAAATTTGCGATGAGTATACGTTTTATAATGTCCTGATGAAAGCAAGGCTCACTCTTTCCGATGTCTCTGCATTTGAGAGGTCAAGTGTTTGACGAGGGAGACGTCAGTAGTCATCTATAGGTGGATCCTAGGTACTGGCCACTTCCTGACGCGATGATGTTGTACAGTTTCAAAGACATTGATGGGGTTGCCTCCACGCTGAGATGATAGACTCTCGATTGCTAAGCTGGAAGACTAACCATTGCGCCAAGCGGTTCTATCACACGAAGACGATTCCCAAATCTAAGGTCAAAAATGAGCATTAAAGTCCTGTCACGGTGAACTTGTAGCATTCTTCGGTTGAGATATGTTATTTGTGGCATAGAAGGAAAACATGTACAACACGGACTTTGCACAGTTTGTGGAACGAGGGACACATGCCCGTCCCAACGCAAGTATT